TTGGAAAAGGGAGTCTCCATCTTCTGTGTAGCCACCCTTTAAATACTGGAACGCAGTGATAACATCTCCTTTAAGCTGCCTTTGCTCTAGGCTGAACAAACCCAGCTCTCTCAGCCTTTCCACATACGTCTTCCCAGTCCTTTGATTCTCTTTGTGGCCCTTCTTTGACTCTTTCCAGCCTTTCTGCATCTTTTTTGTACAGCAGGGACTAAAACTGAACACAGTATTCCAGTTGTGGCCTGACAAGCACTGAGTACATGGGATAATGACATCTTTCTCTGCTGGTGATGCCCTTGTTGATGTTCCCCAGCATCCTGTTGACTTTCTTTGCCACAGCTGCACACTATTCACTCCTGTGGAGCTTGTGTCCACCAGAACTTCAAGGTCCCTTCCCACAGAGCTGCTCTCCCCAGGTAGATCCCATCTTGTGCTGCACTCCAGGACTGTGTTAACCGAGGTGTAAGAGCTTGCACTTGTTGAACTTCATAAGGTTCTTGGTAGCCCACTCCTCCACCCTATCCAAGTCATCCTGCAGGGTGGCTTTCCCTTCCAAAGTATCCACTTCCTCACTCAGCTTGGTATCGTCCACAAACTTAATCAGGCTGCATTTGATAGAATCACAGAATGGTTTAGGTTAGAAAGGACCTTAAGGTCATCTATTCCCAACACCCCTGCCATGGGCAGGGACACCTCACACTAGACCAGGTTGCTCAAAGTCCTGTCCAACCTGACCTTGAACACTGATGGGGATAAAGGGATCTGGATGATTCCATCATCAAGATTGCTTATGAAGACACTGAACATCTTTGGGCCCAATATCTGTGCTGGGGTGGGGTGGTGGGGAGGAGAATAGAAAGATGTGCCACTTTATGAAGGCAGGCTCATGCTAATTCCCCAAGCTGGCTGAAGAGATGCATAAACGTGTGTTCCTTCCTGTAGCTTTTACTCCATCACTGGCCCACAGATTGGTCCTACAGACTCAGACTCCACACATGCATCCCCACCTCCACAACATCATGAGCTGGGGCCATCAGATGAGTTCTCAGTCTCTAAAACCCACCTTTCCTGTCTCAACTTGCTGCATCCTTGGCTGGAGCTTCAGAATAATACTGTAGATGGTACAAGAGCTCTTCCTTTTGTGAGAGCCCTTGTTATCATCTGCCCACAGCTGGATCTGTAGTATGTGCCCACTGCTGGATCAACAGCTGGATCCGTGGTGGCTGCTCCTTGCGTAGCTTTGAATTGCTGCTGATTCTCACGGCGTATCACAAGTTGGCAATCTGTTTTGCCCCATGAACTTTACAACTTTCTTGTTCTGTGTATTCCCTGTATTTCTCAGAGAAAACACATTATGAATAGAACTGGCTCAAATATGTAGTTTCCTTTTCACAGGAAATCCTGTTGTTCTGGGAAAAACTTTTCTTGCAGTTTAAAGTAGTCTTAGAAGTAGTCTTTAGAAAATACCCTACGCAAGTGAGACCATCGGTGCTTTCACTAAGGAAATCAGAACACAGGATCTGATTTTTCCAGGATATATGTAACATAAACCTTGGAGCGTAGTCCTGGTACGTGCTTCCAGGCTTTATGCTCTCTCCCAGATTCCAGGCTATGACAATGTTGGTCTATTATTGAGCTTCCCTTTCTATTTCTTTGTTAAATACCATATTTTGCCAGCACAGTTGCTACCCCTAACAAATTCAGCAGCATTTGGGTTATGGTTAAGGCAGGCCTGACTTGATTACAGTGCTGCTTATAGAGGGGTGCTGCTGAAAATTAGGAGTGTTTAATCAGAGTCTTTGGGGAATTATTAAATATTAGCCAAATGAAGCCGTGTGCTGGAGCTCAGGCACCACAGCAATCTGGGCATGGACTCAGGAGGTTCTCCAGAGGGGAAGCTCATACAGTGAGCAAAAAAGAACAGACATTTCTCTTTACTTCAAATGCTTATGCCCAACTCAACTGAAAAAGAGAGCAAGTAAAGGTAGCTTGTTTAAAAGGGAGATAAACGTGTGCAGTCTTTCCATCCTTTGCATAAAGGAGGACTGCTCTATCAAGGCAGTTTAACAAAGCAGTTGCAAATAGGAATAGGACATGAAAACAGAGTTTTTTTCCCCCTTTCCTTTATATTTCATATATTTAGATATTTACTGTGAGTAACCTCTGCTATATACAGGCAGGTTGGAACAAAGGAGTCTAAACATTATTGTTTTAGTATTACAGAGCAACACTTTGAGTTCAAAATGAAGAGAGTAAAACATTAACTAAGTATAGCACAATGACGCCTTATGTGAACGCCTGAGCGGTATGAATTACCTTTTGTTTTGCTGGTTTAGATGATAACTTTCTAGGTTTATTTTTATGACACAAGAAACATTTCTTTACTGGGAAAATATCACACAACCCCGGTTTTCTTTGATTCTCTAACTTGGACGTTTCCTGAACCAGCTCTGGAAGGAGGAGAAAGCATTATTTTGTTGAATACCTGCTGTGCAGCTTTGTTTACAGAAGCTTTTTATTTGTAGCTGTTCCTAACTTAAAATATATAGAGCTTCAACCACGGTGCATCTTTGAAAGGATATAATTGAAAATGCTGCAGGCTGCTTCTTCCAATTTGATTGTTCTGGGACCTGCTGAACGTTATGGTTGAAACAATGACACAAAGATGGTATTTTGAGGAGCTGCAGCAACAGATGTAATCGAAAGCCAGACACGCTGTTTCTGAACAGGTCCTCCAGTGACATAGAATCACACAATCCCAGACTGGTCTGGGTTGGAAGGGACCTTAAAGCTCATCCAGTCTCATCCCCTGCCACGGGCAGGGACACCTTCCACTAGAGCAGCTTGCTCCAAGCCCCTGTGTCCAACCTGGCCTTGAGCACTGCCAGGGATGGGGCAGCCACAGCTTCTCTGGGCACCCTGTGTCTGCGCCTCAGCACCCTCACAGGGAAGAGCTTCTGCCCTATGTCCAACTTAAATCCCCCCTGTTTCAGTTTGAGCCCATCACCCCTTGTCCTATCAGTGCAGTCCCTGATGAAGAGTCCCTCTCCAGCATCCCTGTAGCCCCCTTCAGGCATTGAAGCTTCTCTGAGATCTCCATGCAGCTTCTGTTCTCCAGGCTGAACAGCCGCAGCTTTTTTAGCCTCCCTTCATACAGGAGGTACTTTGTCATACGTTTGGTGAGAAGAAAAGCCCCCAGTATCCCCAAGTAAAGCAAACATCCAAAGCTATTTGCTGGTAGGAATCCTTTTGCTTTGCACAGGAGCAGAGGTGATGAGACAGGGCTCAGGGCTGGGTTGCAGTGTGTGCCCTGATGATGTGTGAAGAGGTGGGAGCTCTCACTGGGAGTTTGCAGAGGCAGCAGTAAGAATCACGTCCACTGTGCTCCTCAAGCTGTCAGGGGTGACACCAAGGTCTTTTCTTCCCCAGCTTGCTTCGTGCTAAGGTCGATTTAGGCAAGTGTAATCAAATGCAAACCCTGTACTTGTGCTTCTGCTGCTTAAAATAACCATGAGCTTCAGGAAACCAAGCGGAGTCTGTCAGCTCAGAGTTATCTTTTAACTTGAACAGAAGGAGAGGAGTCCCTGATTCAGGATGGCTCAGACAGTGCTGCTGGGGGATGAAATGGCTTTTCATTTCATGGCAGATTTTGTCCCCTTTGTGCTGGGGCAGTGGAGACTTGCAGCCATGCACAGAATTGCTGGAAATAAGCAAATCAGTCCTGTCCTTTGGGGCACTGCCGTGTTCAATTCACTCTGTTACACACCTGTAGTAAAAGTCTGCACCCAGTTGACAAACTGATTGAATGTATACTCACTATATGTTCAGCTCATATTGAATATGATACCATTGTTACTGCACTGCTTGCTCCCAAAAATAGGCTTCAAGAAGAAATGTTTAAAAGCTAAAATTTGGTCTTAGTTTCATTTAAGAACAAATAAGGTCAATAGTTTTCTTCCGTGTGAGGGTGCTGAGGCGCTGGCACAGGGTGCCCAGAGAAGCTGTGGCTGCCCCATCCCTGGCAGTGTTCAAGGCCAGGTTGGACACAGGGGCTTGGAGCAAGCTGCTCTAGTGGAAGGTGTCCCTGGCCATGGCAGGGGTTGGAGATGGATGAGATTTAAGGGCCCTTCCAATGCAAAGTGTTCTATGATTCTATGACTTTCAGATGTAGAAGTACATTTTCTAATACTGCTCTTCAGTAAGAGTAAATGCTTTGTCCTTGTATGGTTTCAGTGTTCACTTAATGTTTAGGTTACCCATCGTTTTGTATAGTTGCTTCCTCTCAACCTTGTATTTCATTTGAATGGCTCCATTTTCTGTGCTGCTGTTTCCTTGCTGGGTTTTCACCAACCTATTGCGGTCCCTATGGGGTTTGTGCCTTTGTGAGCACACAGTGCTACAAAAGGGTTATTGATGATACCAGGGCTCTGTGCATTTTACAGGTTGTCTCACCTTGTGTAACAAAGCCATACAATTACTGTTTGAGAAGGGCTATGGTAAAATACTGCTAAAAATAGAATGCGGTATTTCCATGGGGAAGAATGCACAAGGATTTGCTGCACCTCAGGTATCTCCATGTTTGCTTTCTCACCTGTAGGAGCACACACAGAAATGTGATGCTATTTTGGATGGGGGTTTTGATGAACCTGTGATATTCTCTTCTTTTTGTGCCAGGGGAAGTTGTGGACAGTACCACAGGGCAGTTGGTGGTGGTGTCTGTGTGGTTGAGCCACCTTCACACTGGAAATCAGGCTTGCAGAACAGATTTATTTCCAAGTGTGTGTTCCCTTTTGCAACACGACATAAATACTGGTATATGAGGAAGGTGATAGCCATGATACTCTGCTCTGGAAGCCATACTGCAACGTGAAATCTCCTTTGGGAAATGCAGAACTAGCCTGATAGCTGAGGTCTGTGCCATCCGCTGGACAGCCCTGCATTTGTAAGTGTGATGAACATTCATCTTCACCCTGCTCATGAGTCTCTCATTTGCCTTTCCCCAGGAGCTCGGACTCTGAAGAAGCATTTGAGACCCCGGAGTCCACTACACCGGTAAAGGCACCACCGTCACCTCCACAGCCACCCCCTGAAGCAGCAGCAGTTGTAGCTGACATAGCAGAACAAGAACTCAAGCCCCAGCTGCCCTTGGAAGACACAGGTAAGGAGCGTGTAGTGTATGGGACAGGTTACTGAGGTGGGCGAAGGTGCAGGGAGGTGTTTGTGGGAGCACAGGCAAAGGACTGATGCTGATAAAATATCTTCTAGAGGATTAGGTAGTGTATGCTGGGCATTATCCATGCTGTGAGGAACAACCCTGTCACCTCCTGGGATAAAGAATCTCTCCATTTGACAGGTATTAAAGAAAAAGGGCACTTTGTAGAAAAATGTTTCTTCCTTTTGAATCACACTTCAGTCCATAGGATCTTTACAGAGTCAGATGAGTAGAAAAAAAGAGATATGAGCTACAGATGGAGGTATCTGGGTGAGCACTGTTAACTAGCACAGTTAATAATGTTATTTTCAAATGCATTGTCACCTGAAGCAGAAGATGAACAAAAAGCCCATTAGAATGATAGAAATATTGATATTAGATTTATAGGAGGAACGTGGGAGTATGTGTGAATATGCATATAATATACGTACATAAAATTGGTACACACTGGGAAAATGACCTTTCAAATGTGAATATCATGTTTAAAAACCCAAAGAAATCCTTTCCCCAAAAAAGTATTCTTTGTTCTCCAAATTGAGTAATGGAATATGAGGGAGTAGAAAGCACTCCCTTAGCCCAAACCAGTTTTGTTTGGGCTGTCAGATGACAGCTCAGCAGTTTAACATCGAGTTCCCCATTGTGCTGTCTTCTTTCCTATCCGAAAGTCAATGACCACCTGGCTAAATCCTATAAAGGTAATTTTCCTCCCAGCAGACTGAAGCTTGCTTGTGTTTCATTTGGGAAGTTGTACAGCGCTGCCAGGTCGCGTTTTAACGCTTCCATTTCCACTCCAGAAGCAGCTGAGCAATGTCCAGGGCTGGTGTGTGTGTGTTATAAAGGCTGTCCAGCTTTGATTGAAACCTTCAGGACAAACAAGCGTTGCAAGTGTCTTGAGCCACCTAAAGCATCTCTGGGAGTTATGCATTGAGGAACCCATTTTAAGAGCATGATTTATGAGACAAGTTTATAAGAAGCTGGAAAGATCTTCAACAAGCTGGCTCCACAAACAGGCATTAAATACTGAGACATCCTGACACTTCCTTCTTGCTGCTGCAGTTCCCTCTTCATTGCGTCAGCATTTCTCATTCTCCATCTTCTTTCCCTTTCCTAATCTTTTGCAATCTAATGATCACAAAATAAGCGCTAAGAGAACAAAAGAGCGCATATGCTAAACAGGACTGGAGTGTGGTTTTAATTACTGCAATAGATTATCCTTAAACCCTTGATTACACATGTGCTTCCCTGGCACACGTACCTCTTGTCTCCCTATATCCCATATCTCCCCTCCTTTCTTTGACCTATTTCTGGACAAAGGTAGGGAACTGAATATATCTGTTCTTAGCTGATGTGAGCTATACTGAAGGCCACTGCGTGGCAGAGATGAAAACATTTCACTTGGAAATAAGGTATGTCCATGGGAGGCCAATTGCCACAAACTGAGCTATGTTCAGCGTTGCAAAATGCAGTTATACAACAGGGTGACTTGAGGGAAAGAAGTCAAGTAATACAGAAGAAATTCAGCTGTAGGAGTGCAACACAAAGCATTCATTTGGGAAATATTGGGAAGAAATGACTGGTACTAACACTATAGCTTAGGTGTTTGCATGCTTCTTCAAGGAAAGAATTAAGCAGTTTCTGCTTGATAAGCTGCTCGAGTGGCAGTTATCTTGTAGTTTATTTACCTCATAGGTTATATGTGTGGCTGCACACAGAGAGAATAAGTCCCCTCCTTGTGGTTATGGGTAGTGGGAGTAAAGTTCCTCATTGATACCATACAGCTAAATAAATAGGGTTTAATAAAAGAAGAGTTAGGAATATGGGCAACTGGAGAGCCTGGCACACACAGGGAGAGGCAGGGATGTCCAGCTGGGTTTCTGGTTCACCAGCTACATGGCTCTGTCTTCTGCATGGGGCTGGTGACAGAGAGCGTGTTTGCGTGGAAGGAGGGACCATAGGAAGTGTTTAAAGGGTTGTTTCATCTATATCTGATAATAATTACTCATGCAGACGGCTGCAGTTGTGCTGTGCAATATCATTAACGCAGCAGCTGGACCCCACTGCTGGAAAGGCAAGAGAAGAGTTTTTAATTAGGTTGTCTTCAACACAGGCTTAGTAAATATGATGAAAGGGAAATACAGCTAGGCTCATCCTGGGGCTGTGCCAGCTCCTGGTGGGGTAAAACCTGCTGCATGGCTCCAGTCCAGCAGCAGCAGAGCAGGAGGGGGGACTTGGTCTGTAGGCAAGTCTGGAGGGGAAGATGAGTAACGGAGCATATATAGAAGCTGCCTCTGAACCCCAAAGTGTCACTAGTGCCTTCCATTCCTTCATAACTTGTTTGTTAGTTGTGGGAATGTGGGTTATATTCTTAAGACAAATGACTTTGAGGGTTTTTTTAGGTATTATTAATATTTTGGTGGTATTTTAAACTATCATTGTCTGTCTTAGCTTCTCATAGCAGTCTCTTCTGTTCCTTGTTCCAGCTATCTGAGCACCAGAAAGTGCCCCATGCCCTTTCTCCCAAATATTCCCTGTTTCTAGCCAGGAATTCCTGCCTAAGCAGGGGCATCTCTTTTGCCTCTTTCCCCCTAACACCTTATCCAATTGATTAATGAATTCAGGTTGTATACACAGGGGAGATGTGAAAGCTGGAGTCCCCTCTATGCATTACAGCCTGCTAGTCAGGATACAGGGGACTATGTTCAGTCCTTCTTGTGCCAATGGAAAATGAGGTCAGGCTTTCCAACAGAGAGAGATGATGATCGAGACATAAACAAACTGATTTTTTGGTATGGAAATCTTTCTTCAGTGTTTATGCTCTTGAATCCTGACAGAGAAGAATTGAAAATAACCTTTATATGGCAGTTTTCTTTCAGAATAAATGACAGAAGTATTTTTAAAGGAGTGTTTTACAAAGCACTACTAAATGATTTTGTAAATTCAGAAGCTTCTCTTGACAGGCTGAGAGAGCTGGGCTGGTTCAGCCTGGAGAAGAGAAGGCTCCTTAAGGGGAGACCTCGGAGCAGCTTCCATTTTCAAGCCTCTTGGATTTCCCCTTGTGTTAGAGATACTTGAACAATATCTCTGCACTCCACCATTAAGGAAATTTATTATAATTTAAAGACAAAAATATTTTTAAATAGCTCAAAAACTGTGATGTAAAAGGACAAATGGCAGTGCTGTTAATGCCAGTGAAGAATGGACTACATGCCTCTTTGTAGTAGTAAAGCCGTGCTGCTTTGCAGTTGTGAGTACCATTCATATCTTCCTCACCAGACTTGCTGCTCTTACTAGTACTGAGCCAGTTCTGCTTTAATGCCAGAAGAGTCTAACAGCAGCATTTCCCTCCTACCAAAAGCTGTGTTTTATGGGCCAATTTCACATATTGTTTCATAAAGAAACAATAAAAATATCACTGTGGGGAGTGAAGTGATGCTCTGCAGCAATGTGTATTCTTAAGTAAAGGATTTGATTAGGAGGAAGTTGTGAAATAAGCAATTAAGATTAAAGCTCTGCACTATGTGGAGCACACCAAATTTGAGTCCTACTTTGCCTTGAGTAACTAGAAAGCCTTGTACAGCAGCCTCTGCTGCTGTGATGCATTCCCTACCTCAGCGCTGCCATGCCTGTTATTTACAGTCCAAGTCCTGCAGGGCACTGCTTTGGTTTGTTTGATTTTACTTTGTTTAAATGCGTGTTTGTACTGACTTTGAACGAGGGGCCTCAGTCCTGTTGAGGCCTTTGGTGCGCACTGGAATGAAAACAACGAGTAATTGCAGACAAGTTATTGTTCAGATCCCCCTTTCATTTCATGCTGACCTACTTTTGTACTCCACCGATGTATTAGAGCTACGCCAGTGTTTATTGTCATGTACTCCTGTAAAACACCTTCCATTCCCATTTCATTGTACAATGTAAGATTATCCTAATGCTGGAGTTTTATGACACTCTTTGAGCAGCCCCCTTGTAGAAGACCTGTCAGTGTCAGAAAGTGATGTGTGTGGGAAGTGAGCACCAGCTCAGCTGCCAAATCAAGTCTAATTAATGTCCTCCCAGCCTGGCTAAACCCAAGCTTGACCCAGTGGTAATTAAGGAGAAAAAGAAACTCTCGTGAAGTCCTGCCACATTTTTTGGCATTCATTTAGCAGAAAAAAGCACATTAAAAGATCATTTTAATTGATGTGACTTAGTAAACTTCCACGGTCTTAAAAGAGAAATTGTGTAGCTGTCATTCTTTGACAGTCTCTGGAAATACATTCAACTGCTTGAAGGTGTTGCTTTGGGAATTGTGTCCGATTTCCTTAAATCCTCTCTGTCCTCTACGTCCATAAATAATAATCCTTGCAATCTCTATGGAGACATAATTTCTTCTGAAACAAAGGAAAAACGTGGTTTCTTTCCTGTTCTTAATCCATTCATGGCTTCTGACTAAAATCAGTGATTGACTGTAAAGCTTTTATGAACAATGTTGATGAAGATAGTTGGGCAAAATGGGAATTATTCTGCAAAACATGTCAGAACTGGAAAGAAAAAGATGCATAGAAATTTCCCTGAAATCATTTAAGGATAAGCAAAGCATTCAGTTTTGTTTGGCTGATTTTCTTTATAATTGCATAATTTATAAAAATGACAACATGAAGAATGCTGTGTTGCTTCAGTAGGAAACAGGGGGGCATTTTGCTCCAGGGGGCAGGAGTAAGAGCTCAGAGGAGCTGGCTTGAGCTCTCCAGCTTGAACTATGAGCTAGAGAGAGAGTTCCCACATCTCTTATACTCTGACTGGGTCACACACAAAAACAGAGATGACTGTGTGACGTTCAGATAGTAGTAGTGACAGGAGGAAACCACGTTCAGAGCTTATAAAACACTTGATCAGTCAACTTTAATGAGCTGGAAGGCAGCAAAGACCATAATCTTAATCCTTTCCTACCTGTATATTTTCTGTTACTTTTTTTATATGCATTGTATCTTTTTCTACTTTTTTCAATATACTTGTTATATCCCAAGTCAGGAGGCTCCTGTAAATAATTTTATGATCCCATTCACCAAGCAGACCTTTAATTACAATGAAAAGCTGCTTGAATTAACAGTTTCAGCATGTAATTCCCTCTATAAAAAATTCCTTTCACCAGTGAGTTAGAACTACACTTGGAGAAATCTGTTATAAATATCTGGAGGGAGCTTCCTGTGGTCTTCTTAAAGGAAGATTTTAAATTGAGACCCTTTCTACGGTACTAATTGACTAAAAAAAAAAGTCTAATTGACTTTTTTTACCGTTACCATCATTTATTTCATGTGAAGTTCTCAATGAGTCATGTCTCATTATGAGCTTGGAATGATGAGGGCTAAGTAGAGTGTATTGACTCCTTGGGAGCAGCATTGATGGGTTGTGGAGAGGAAGCCATGTTCCTCTGGGAAAACTGGTGAAAATAGCACATGGGAAACAAATCTTAAGATCAACATGTAGTTGCTGAAGCACCCGTTGATTTACAGGGAATGTACTGCATTAGAGCTCTGGCACAGTTGTGAGAACTCTTTGTAACAGCAGAAAATGTGAGTAATAAATTGCTTGATATTAATTTTTTCTGGTATTTGGCATATTTAGCATGTTATGGTAATCCCCATCTCTTTAACTAATTGATAATTAGTTTAGCAGAGATGCTGTAGAGGCTGTTGCAGATGCATATTTTGTGTTTCCATGAAACTTGCCTTGAATCCTTTTCTGGGGAGAACAGAACTACTTTTTCCCTTCATCTAGTTCATATGTTGGAAACGTCACCTTAGTTTGTGTGTCCTGTAATCATTGCTTAGTCCATTTGTATGATTTTAACCCTTTTTTTCCTTTTTACTTGTAGTAATATTAGATTTTAGTAAAACTTACTAAGCTCCAGTTTTAAAAACGTGTTTAAAATTCACAGTTTTCTGTTTATTTCCACAGGATCATGTTCAGAAACTGTACCTGTAACTGATGTGTCACACAGTGAATCAGTTGAAGAAAGCCCTTTCCGTCCCCCTTCCCACTCTTTTTCCACCGTCTTCGATGAGGACAAGCCAATAGCCAGCAGTGGAACTTACAACTTGGACTTCGATAACATTGAGTTGGTTGATTCTCTCCATGCCTTAGGACCAAGCTCTCCAGAATCAAAGAATCGTGACCCCAAAGCAAATGTGCGAAGAAAATCTACTGATTCACTCCCAGTTTCCAAATCTACGTTGTCTCGATCTCTTAGCTTGCAAGCTAGTGATTTTGATGGAGCATCTTATCTTGGCAACAGTGAGACATTAGCACCGGCAGCAGATGTGTATGGTACTGGTTCAAGCAGTGCTTCTAGTACCCTTAAGAGAACAAAGAAATCCAGACCAGCTTCCTTAAAAAAGAAGCAGCCAGCCAAAAAACCTCTGGATGCTCCTCTGGTGAAGGAAACACCTCAAGAACCACCTGACCTTGGCCAAGCTGACTGTGACCCAGGTGAGGATAAAACAGCATCTGAAGCTAAGGCTGATTCAGTAAGGCCTGAATGTACTGAACCTTCTAAAATCTCTGCTGAGAAACAGGAGGCTCCACCTGTGCCTGAAGGATCCCACCCTGTGGATCCAGACAGTTTGGAAGGGATTAGTGCATTTAGCACTGGAGGCAGCAAGGTACAAAACTCTCCCCCTGCCAATAAGAAACCACTACCTCTTACAACGGCACCGGAGGCTGAGGAGGTGACTCCACCAGATACTGGAGGACAAGAAGACCCTCCAGTCAAAGGTGTTGCAGTGAGGCTGGAGTTTGATTACTCTGAAGAGAAAGGGGTGAGTGAAGACCAGCAGGAGAGTACTCCTCCTCCCAAAAAAGCAGGTAAAAAGCCTGGTGCTAAAATGCCACTAAGGAGGCCAAAGACTAAAAAGTCAGTGGAAAAGCTTGACAATGCTCCTACCACACCAACTAAGTCACCCACTGATCCAAACGAAATCCCTATCACAAAAGGCTCTTACACTTTTGATATTGACAAGTGGGATGATCCCAATTTTAACCCTTTCTCATCTAGTACAAAAATGCAAGAATCACCCAAACTGCCTCAGCAAACGTACAGTTTTGAGCCAGACATGTGCGAGGACTCTATTGACCCTTTCAAGTCTTCTTCTAAGATAGCCAGCTCGCCCTCTAAATCTCCAGCTTCCTTTGAGATACCAGCCAGTGCCAATGAAACAAATGGAACAGAAGGAGACAACTTGAATAAACCTGCAAAGAAGAAGAAGACACCATTAAAAACGTAAGTTAAAGGGCACTCTTATTTCTAGATTAGAAGAAGCATATTCCTCCCCCTTAGCACAGGTACACTCTGGTTATATTTGAATAGAAAAAGGAAGGTGATGTTGAGTGTTGATGGCCACACAAGCGGACTCATGCTGGGGGTCTGTATATTCCCTTCCTCAATAGCTTGATGTTTCCAGACCAAAGCAGAGAACCAGGGCAACATCAGACCAGATGAAGACATTGGTCTGGAGATTGGATTTTAGAAGTCTTGTGGCTCAGTGTATCTTTCATACAATCATAGAATGGTTTGGATTGGAAGGGACCTTAAACTCTGAATTGGATCAATTGCTAATTCTATCAGTTTTGTGCCAAATTTTCTGTGACCTCATCTTGGGGATTTGATACTGTTTAAGATGATCAGAGTCTTCAGTAAAGACCATTTTATGAATCGTAGTTTTTGAGAGTGGGATGTGAAGTAGCAAGGCAATGACAGATCTATTATACACAGCAGGAAGATGGCTTTATGCAGTCACTTATGGCATTTAAAAGAAAACCACCTGAAACAGGAAAATGCAGGATTGGATTCTGGTTTTTTACATACAAGACTAATCATGTGAAAAATTTCCTTTCTGTGAAGGAGCTTACAGTTTGCAGAAGGGTTTAAATCATCAGTATTACGTGTTACGGAAACATCCAGCTTTTAGACACAAACTGCAGGATAAATTCTCTAGCTTGCTGTGTTTAGATATTTGGTTAAAAACCTCAATGGCTAGTTGCATTGGTTCCATGGTTAACTTGTTGCTGTGCCTGTTGGTTTCTCTGTTCAGACATGGTTATTTCTAGCTGGTAGTTAGTAAGTTTATGTCCCATTTCTCTGAAATCGGAATCCTGTGTATACGTGTAAGGAAGTATCTCAGTGCATGTCCCCTTATAGTGTGTTTCAGCTACCTAACAAGAATGTGAATTAGAAAAGTAAAAAGCCTGACAATTTGAAGATGATAACATGGTTGAGGACAAGGGGTGAAAGGTTAAAACTTAAACAGGGGAAGTTTAGATCGGATATAAGGAAGAAGTTTAGTGTCCTGGCCCATGGCAGGGGGGGTTGGAACTAGATGGTCTTAAGGTCCTTTCCAACCCTAACCATTCTATGAGTCTGTGTAAAATATGACCTCCTTTACGGAGTGAGGTGAAGATTATTCAGTTGTTTCTGAACAGTTTGCTGACCTCTAGGCTTCTAATTCACCTCTCTTGCCAGATTTGAGGAAGCTTGTGCCATTTTTAACTTTCTAGGGGCATTTCTGACGTAGGGGAAGTATAGACCACAGTATGGTTGAGTTGGTTTTTGTGGAAGAATGTTGGTTTTTGTGATTTTTTCTTCATTTAGATTGGATATTGGGAAGAAATTCTTTCCTGTTAGAGTGGTGAGGCGCTGGAATGGGTTGCCCGGGGAGGTTGTGAATGCTCCATCCCTGGCAGTGTTCAAGGCCAGGTTGGATGAAACCTTAGGTGGCATGGTTTAGTGTGAGGTGTCCCTGCCCATGGCAGGGGGGTTGGAACTTGATGATCTTAAGGTCCTTTCCAACCCTAACTATTCTATGATTCTGTGATTTTCAGGTATGCCTGAAATTTAGTGGAAGTTAAGGCAGGAATTGAGACGCATGCTAGGCTGACATGTTTTTCAAGCCTCCACTCCAAGCTAGCTTGCTCCAAACCAAGAAGACTTCAAAGTCTGCCTGCAAGAAAGGAACTATTTGAATCCTGACTGGGCAAGAGCAGATGGAGAGAGGGTAATTTTAGTATGACCAGGTCCTTAGGTCTGATACTTGCAGGCAGCCAAAGTCTCCTTGTGCCTTCCAGTAGCTGCAGGGGAGTTGACAGACCCTCGGTGTAAACTTCTTGTGTCCCCCCATCCTCTTTGAACATTAGAATGAATTCCCAAGTTGTTAATTTAGGGGAAACATGAGTTTTTACAAGAGGTTTGCTAAAACACGTTTGTCCTTGAGAGAACCCTGTTCTACAAAGCTCACTGCTGGGCTTTACTGTGGTGGAAGAAGTGAAATTACCCTAGAGCAGGGCTTGCAGGGTCTTAGGTCAGGGGGCTTGCAGGGATTCCCAGCCCTTCCCTGGGACTGCTTTCACTGCATCATGTTGTGTGTCTGCTTAATGCAGCCCCGTAACCTACTTCTACAAGTGGTTTCTCAAAGGGAGAGAATCTGCATGTTAATACACAGGGCAGCCTGCAGCCATAATACGTTCTAGAAGGAAATTACCCTAAAGCATGTTGGGGGATGCCAGGGGAAGCAGTGGCTTTTATTTATCTTTGCCTCTCTCTGGTGTCTCTTCTCCTTCAAAAGGGGCCTCAGCATTTCTTCTCGGGGGGGAGGGTCCAGTGCAGGAGAACACCATGCCAGGCAGGGAGTTGGGGTGGAAGACCCTTGGCAATGCTCCCATGGTAGGACAGGGGAGAGAAGGCACTGCAAACCACTTCAGATCCAGGGGGCAGAAAGGAAGGTGTTTGAATTAGGAAATGGAACTGTAATACACCAGGACTCCTAAACCCTGATTAAGGGAACTTAAAACCTAAATTTACAAAGCCAGGAGTTTTTATTAGTATGGTTGGGAGGTGCAGAAAGAAAACGCTGTGGACCAGTTTGAAAATCTGTGTCTCATATGGAAATACAGCAATTCCTAGACCAGAGCTGTAGGAGGCAAAGAAGCCAGGCATAAATAATGAGAATAGCAATGCTAAGTTTTTACTGTTTGGATTCTGTGACATATGCTAGGTCTTACCTGTGTTAAATCAAGAAAAATAACCAGGTTTTATTCTTGAATGCAACCTGCAGCAGTTTAAGCATTGACCTCCATGTGAAAAGATGAGGTTTTTCGAAGAGAACAGCTCAACACAAATTACTCTCTAGCTGTATACCTAAGTGCTGAGCTGCTCTGAGATAGATCATGTTGCTCAGATGATTCTGAACAAAGAGCAGCTGATGCCTCCTGAGCGCCTGTTTATAGTGAAGGGTAAAAATAGTGACTTGTATAGACGTTGCTCTCGAAGCTGCTGGATGACTGGAGGCTGTGTTTAGAAGCACAAGGTGCCAGCTTTCAAGAGCTTTGCACGTGAGAAGAACTGAACAGAAGCTGCCAAGCTTATAAGTAGAAGAAAACTTTTCTTAGCCTTAACTGTTTGACAAGGTTTGCTTCTGGCTTTGAAGCAATCCATTTGTTCTGTCACAGCACACCGTTAGGATTCAGTGAGAGCTAAAATAGATGGGGTTTAAAGAAATTTTTATAAGAGCAAGTAGGGACAGGCCAAGGGGAATGGCTTGAACCTGCCCAAGGGGAGACTGAGCTGAGCTCTTAGGCAGAAGCTCTTCCCTGTGAGGGTGCTGAGGCGCTGGCACAGGGTGCCCAGAGAAGCTGTGGCTGCCCCATCCCTGGCAGTGTTCAAGGCCAGGTTGGACACAGGGGCTTAGAGCAAGCTGCTCTAGTGGAAGGTGTCCCTGCCCATGGCAGGGGTTGGAGCTGGGTGAGCTTTAAGGTCCCTTCCAATACAAACCAGTCTGGGATTCTATGATTCTTTGAAATGTCTTTTTCTTTCTTGAATCAGATTTGAAGTGGTCAAGTAGCTTTATCTGTACTGTCATAACAAATCAGCAAGCATGAAGAAGCCCTTGCCTAACTATGTGCTTTCCTTAAGCTTAGCTACCATTGAAAAATAGTTCTACATCCCTTATGATAACAAATACTGTGGTTTGAAATGAAAGCAGGTGGCTTCCATCAGGGAAGGCAGGGATGGTTAGTATGTTGAAAGGAACTTGGAGGCGACAGCTTTGAATAATGTGCTTTGTAAGATGAAAGCGGGTCAAAAGTGTAACATTGAATTTGGGAACAATGAAGGACTTGAATGTTTTTTTTCTCCCCATGTATTTCACAATAAAAGTAGAGGTTAAGGTTATACAGGTAGAAAATATGCATGATCAGATTGCCTTAACACATTAACATTAACCAAGTATTTGTAGGTTTATCTTTTTTGTCAGTTCCTTCTGTCTGTCTCTCTTTTCTTTGTCTTATTTGTCTTAGGATGGTAGAAGATGTGATGTCTGTATGTTCTCTGTTGTAAGTAATTCTAAGCTAACAATTCAAGTTTCCTCTTTGATTTATGGGCTTTTTAATTTTACTTATTTAATTTGCAGCATGATCAGTTGCTATTGAGCATGAAGCTTTTATGTTAACTATTCCTTTTCACTGGCACATGTGAAAGCTGTTTTCAGTAAGATGCCTGGCTGTGAATGATTTTGAGGAAGCTATTGGCTCTTTATCTGTTTGTCTGTCAAAGAAGGTCCTCTTTTAAGAACTGTATAGATTTTGTATCTTTAGCTAAAATATGATAGTTGTATTTCTACCATTGTACAACATCCCTGTACAATTGGTCTTTTGTAAATACTGTATAAACTGTTTCTCCTGATTAAAGGAATAATAAAGAATAATTCTAGCATCAAAACTGGATAATGAGTAGCATTGAACACACCAATATTGCGCTGTCCAATTTATTCTCCCCTTTAGATGTGGTATTGATTTACTCTCTGCTGATTGAAACCCGCCATTATCATTTCTAGTGTTGATCTTGCTGTCATTGACCAGGCATAGGCTGGTGGGCAGAAATTTTTGCCACTGCATCTCAGTTCAAACATAAAGTCTTTATCAGTGAGTTTGCTGTGATATTTTACTCCCTTTTCCTAGTTAGTAACATAAAATGTATCTAAATAACTCTGGCAAAATGCATCAAAAGAAGAAGCAGATAACTGGTTTATTTCCTGGTTAGAAAATATTTTAAGCCAATTGTGAATGAGCATAAAGGCAAAATTCATAATTATACACCAGGACATAATGTATGTTCATTCCTTTTGCCTGATTGAAACCTGTGGGGTTTGAAGGGCTCCAGTGTCTGTGCTCCCAGTCTGCACGTTGAGCTGTCAAGGGAACTGGAAGCAAAATTGCCATATTTGTTGTTGTATTTGTTTTAAAAAGGCTCTGTTGTGCACATTTATAACGATAGAGCTTTGTTCTGATCAGAACAGCATCTCCCTTGGCTGGTTTCATGCAGTGCATCCAGAACATTCCAATTTTTTTCTCAGCGGTTTATGGGATCATTGATACTAACTGCTCAACTTCATCACAACTGTATTTCTTAGGTTAAGATGTGCTTTAGACCTAATTTTCAGATGGGAAACTGAAGCAGACAGAAGCTAAATAACTTGCTTAAGGGCGCTGAGGATGTCTGTGCTGGAGCAGGGATTTGAATTGCAATCAAGCAGCAAGTCTGTTCTGTAAATGTGTCGGTGCTTAGCATGAAAAATATGGCAATCCTGCTTTTCTCAGCTTCTGGGGAATGGAGGCCTGTTCCAAATGCATGACAATAATATGTACCTGTGGCATGTTTCTCTGTGCTGCTGCTGCCTAATGGATGGGATTTTAAAGCAGATGGGCTTATAGAGGTTGCATTGTCTGTGGCTCTCGTGCTGAGTGTGAAATGACCTGATTCCCGCTGGTGTTACCATATTAACGGTTTTAACTTTATTTTCAGTGATACATTTAGGGTGAAAAAATCACCAAAAAGATCCCCACTATCTGATCCTCCTTCTCAGGTAAAGCACTGCCTTATTCTGATGCATGTAATGTGTGTTCTTGTAGGGTAAATAAAGGGAAACTTGATTTATTTAATTGTAGAGTTTTGCATTTAATAATAGAAAAGTCTTTTGTCAAGAATATGAGCATTTTAATGTTCAAGTATAGCGCATTGGGCTATAATCATAAGGTATTAGCATTTTAGTCTCTAGAATTGTGTGTACGATGTATATTAGATCTAATATTTGCCCTGGGAATTCCAGTTAGAGTATTAGTAAATACACTTCAGAAGGCCCTATGTTACGATAGAGTGATGATATGAATAAATATCTTCAGTTGTCTGAAAAACAGACATAGCTCTGAATCCTGGAACTTTTACATCAGAAAGTAAGAAACTAAATGCTTCAAATTGGTGGGCTGGATGGGAAATAGAAATAAACCAAGTGGGCTGATCCACCAGGAACGTGTGCTTGGATGGTTTTATTCCTTGTTGTAAACTACCTGCAGGTGGTTTTCTTGGAAGAGAAGTTAACAAAAGCTGTTCTGCCTTACAAAGGCCTCACTGCTTTGATGTGCCACAGCTCCTTCCATGCTGCTGTTCATCTTCCTGTTATCCATCTATCCTGTTATGCTTTTCTTTGTGCTGCTCGGCAGCGCAGAAGTGAAGAAAGGGCTTGTGACCTCGCAGACCTGTGAAGGTTTGCCCCTGTGAGGGAAGCCTAAAAAGTCAGTTTTGGCAGTCAAAGACTTCAGTCATGGGTGATGTGTGCCACTTATGTCAAGCACCTAACAGCTTTAAACAGCTCTGGTTTCTCTTTCTTCCCTGTTCTCAAGGAACCTTTGCAATGCAAGTGTGTATCATCAAAGAGTTTAGTTATGCTTGGAAAACTTGCTGCTAGTAGAGTTCCAAATGAAGTACTTGCATATTTTCTGTTAAGTATTAGATATACAGAGCTGCAGCAAAGAGTATGGAATTAAAAAGATGATTGTGGTCAGGCAAAGGGATTCTGAGAGTTCAACACATTAATAAAAGGTAATAGAATTAATTGGCACTTGCTTTCTGCAGGATCCCACTCCACTGCCTACTCCAGAAACACCTCCCGTCATATCCACAGTGGTTCATGCGACAGATGAGGAGAAGCTGGCATCTTCAGTGACCAGCCAGAAGTGGACCTGCATGACCGTGGACCTGAACACGGATAAGCAGGATTATCCACAGCCTTCTGATCTGTCTACATTTGTGAATGAGACCAAGTTCAGCTCTCCTACAGAGGGTATGCTTTATAAAGGACTGTCTGCATCCAGCTGATGCTGTATTTATTGAGAAGGTCTGGGTTGTTCGAGAATGGTGGCATGAAGGGGGCCTATAGGGGTGCTGGGGATGGACTCTTCATTAGGGACTGTAGTGATAGGACAAGGGGTAATGGGTTAAAACTTAAACAGAGGAAGTTTAGATTGGATATAAGGAGGAAATTATTTCCTGTAAGGGTGGTGAGGCACTGGAATGGGTTGCCCAGGGAGGTTGTGAATGCTTCATCCCTGGCAGTGTTCAAGGCCAGGTTGGACAGAGCCTTGGGTGCCATGGTTTAGTGCGAGGTGTCCTTGCCCATGGCAGGGGGGTTGGAACTGGATGATCTTAAGGTCCTTTCCAACCCTGACTATTCTATGATTCTATGTACTTTGCTGAATAGAAACTGTATTATTTGGGAACCCAAAAAATTATGCTCTTTGGATCAATCCAGGGAATTTGTTAGTTATGGGGAGCTGAGTGTAAGACCCCAATAGTCTGATCTTGAATTCTCAAGGAAGAGCAGAGAGGAAGATCGAAGGAAAATGAAAGGAGTCTTCAAAGAAAGGTTTTCGCTTCCTTTGTATGGTTAACTGTAGACATGCTGTGTTCTTCTGCACGTGCTACTTGTTCTCTCTGTGCCCTCACAGGAGACTGTGGTCTGATATTGCCCTCAGTTAGTGCTCTTGGATCCAGAGTCACTGAACTACTGGTTTTGCTTGAGCCTGTTCCTCTAACCTGAACAGGAGAAGGTCTCAGGAGACAGTCCCTGCTCAAAGCTTACGTATTGCTTTAAAGCCTTTCTCATGCCATCTCTCCTCCAGGTTCCTAGGATCCAGGTATCTTTATGCACAAAAATGCCCAGGATATCCCTTGCGTAAGATAGTTATCATTCACATGCCAGATAAGATTTCCTTGTGAATCAGCTGGTTCAGATTTCTCCTGTTGTACCTTCCTATGAGCAGTGGTGAGCTAAAGCTGGAGGTTCCTGTTACGAGAACTGTCACTGCAGGTCTGTGAAATGTGGAAAGAGAGAACTTAGAACTTAGGAAACTTGTGTGTGGCCTTCCTTAGGGTTCCCCGGGGGAATACAGCTTTGCAACATCTGCTCTGCTCCAAGGGCAGCTTTTCAGCTTTGTGGGTGGGAAGAATGTATGACTTCAACTTGGCTGAAACGTTCTTCATGATCACGATTTATTCCCTGCCCAACCTTTCAACCCATGTCCCAGTCTGCCATTGAAGCTACTTGATGCCATTTTACACTGGGTCTGAGGAGTTTTTGCCTAATGAAGAAGTGCTGGACTCCTAGGTCAAATGTGTTTGACGTTAAAAGGCAGGAATAATCACACTGGTTTTAACGGGACGGCATGTGTTCGCATGCACGTCCTTGTGTGTTTGCATAGCCTGGGCTTTGTGGAAATGTGTTACTTATCTGTGTACAGAGGAGTATTTCAGTCTGAATAAATCCATTTGGCTTTGCTGTCAAATCATGAATATTAGGTAACAAATTCATTTAATTTGTATTAAAAACAAACAACAAGGAAAGTCACCCAAATCTGGGAAAAAGGAAATGCTATGGAAGGAAATGGAACAAAAGACTAGCGAGAGATACTCTAAGGGAATCATTTTAGCTATCAAAGTGGGTAGAAGAAAGTGAGCAAAGCTCCTAATTAAATGCTAATTGTCTTGTCTCCTGTGTGCTGCATGGTGCAGGCAAGTTTCAGATTACTGCCTAATTATAATCAACAGCACTTCAGCTTTTCACATCTCTTACAAATAATAATTCCCCCCCCATACACCCTTGACAGTCTTGCTCCTGAGGCATTGAGAAATCCTTGAGTAATTCCAGGGCTGTTCCTCCGTGTGGGTATTTTTACCCCTCCCAGACACCAGTATGAGTGTTACCCTGTAACCTAACACGACTTTTACACGGATACAGCCCAACTACTGAGTCAGCCACTCCATCCAGCTCTCATCTGTTGCGTACGCTGCTTGTAACTGCTGCCATTTTCGGGTGCAGAGACCAGAAATAAGCAGTAATTATTAGCAGAAAATGCTGATGCAATCTTGCAGCTATTTGTAGGAGGAGTTGGAGGACATCACTTAGTAAGTCTGTTGTATGTATTTCTAAAAGGTAATTATCTTATTCATGGGGTGTCCTGGGCATTTGTTATTATGAATGTATAGAGATAACCAGAGATCCTAAGATTTTGGAGGGGAGATAATGTCTTAGAGCAGAAACCTAGGAGAGGAGGTAGAGTCTAAGTATGCTGGCAAGTTCTGAGAGCAGTCCGCGTTTAGCGAGCCGCATTATTCCCTTTGTTTCTAGCTGAAGTATTTCCATCTGTGTCCTGCTGGGGACTTTTAAATCAGCAAAGTTAAGTATGTGTTGTCCCAAAACAGCAGCTTAGGTTGCAATTGCAAAGCTGCTACCAGCCCTGCAGGCGGTTGGAACTTCTGTGCCAGCAGAGGACAGTGCCGGTACATCTCCTGCCTAATGAGCATACCTGTGCCCTCACTCGCCACTTGATCTCTGGGGTTGTAAAGCTGCCCCACATACATTCGTGATGCACCTCATTGGGTTTATATGTAGGTAAATGAAATAGAGAAAGGCAGTTACTAAAGCCTGGATGCTGTTATCTGGTATTTCATGCTTTCTCCTGCAATTCTGCATTTAGTAGGTGGTTTAAATCTCATGGTTTCAGGTTTGGTTTGGCTCTTGCTAGGAAGGAGCTTGTATATGATACCAGAAGGTTGTCCATCTTTCTTGACTCCCTGTTACCATCAAAAACGTGGTGCTAGGAATTTAAACATGAGGAGGCTGCTATTATTGCATTCTCTTCACTTGGATGTTTTACCTCCCACATGTCAAGTACTAAGAGTTTGTGGCTGTTCCTCTTCAGTGGTTGTTTGACAAAATAGATAGACTTGTGGAATGTACTGTAAAAAAATATTGAGCGTTATAACCTCACATTGTGCCCTTCTAAACTTTCTCCTTTTCTTAACAAAACAGGTGAGAGATTGTCCTTAGGTTTGGTTTGTCTTTAGAAAGCAAACGTTTTAATGATGCCTTTCTGATACAAGCCCTACTTTTGAAAAGCTGCCCAAATCTAGCAGAATTTGAGCACTTAACTTTTGTCATAAAGTAAATGTTAGTGTGCCATTCACTGGAACTTCTCTACAATGGAAATGAACGCATGCAGTGGTTTATGAACTTAACTCAGGGAAACATTATATAGAGCATTAGGACAAACCAGTTATGTCTTTAATTTTTAAATCAAGTTGTATTTGACCAAAGTCTTTGCATTTCTTTGGGTGCAGGAAGGTCTGCTCTCTTTCCCATTTCCCTGTGCCATCTGCCTCTGTATCAGCTACCGGGTGACCATGGATTGGAAAGAAACACTGGTTATTCCCTCCAGTGTAATTAGGAGATAGTAGTAGAGAAGCAATAAAGATTTGCATTTTCATTAGGGTTTAGATCTGGGGTTCTTTGTAAATCTTGCTGCCTTAGGCTTTTCCTTGGAATGTAAAACATGGAAACAGCCCAGTAAAGCTGTGCTGTTGTCTCACCCCTTCAATGAGCATGCAGGTATTTTACGTATCTTTGGATCTTAAGCGATACCACAGTAGTTCTTCTTAATTAAGAAATGGGTGATAAGCGTTAAGAAATAGAAATGATTTAATTTCTCAACAGCTTTTTGAATCTTTCTGTGTACATCAAAGGAAACTGGTATCAGCATCACCAGTTACTGAAAACTGTGGTTTCTGTGATGAGATAGCGTCATAGAAGAAAGTTATCTGTGCCAAGTTATCTGTGCTCTGAAAGCACCCTGCAACTTTCTTAATATTCTGGCCCCTGGGGTAGAATCTTCAGCAAATTGAGAAAGCTGAAATTTTCCAGGCAAATGAATTTGCCTAAAACATGTCCCAGGCTCATTGTTGAAGATCAGTGCCTCTTCTGCTTTTTCTCTGTACATGCTATTTTTAATACCTCATGGCAGAGTATGGAGCGGGATGGAGGTGGTCCTTGTGAATGAGAGGAGATCTCATTTATTTCTGCAAAAGTAATTTCACATATTTAATGGCTCTTTTTTGTTTCTGTTGCAGACTTGGAATATGGCAACTCATATGAAATAGAATATATGGAGAAAATAGGCTCCTCTGTGCCTGTAAGTTCTCACTCTCATTTGCATTCCCATGTCATAATATACTATCCTGATAGTGCCACCAGCCTCACTACCTCTTTAATTATAATGTGCCTGCAGCAGATTTGCCAAACCAGTTCCCTTGAATTGGCGTAACTGGGGTAAATTGCATGTGCTTTGTTGTCCTGTGTCCTGTAGAGCTTGTTCCAGTTTGTTATTTAATTTTAAGTTAGCATCATAGTAGTTCTTCCTGGAGATGAAAAGCAGATCAGCATTTCCAGCAGTGTAGAGTGCAGAGCTGTCTACAGCAGCTATTGAACTGTCTCAAGAAAATGAGAGTAAAACTTGAAAGAAGGAGAAAATACAGAATGAATGTGGACTGTGGAATGCAGTTCTATGTGTTATCAGCTGTTTTGCCTTCTATTTAAATCATGGGCTTGACAGCTTGACTACGTCCAATGGGGCTATATCCACAGGGGAAGTTAGAAAGTCAAGCGTGCATGTCAGGTGCTTAAACTGATGAGAAGTTTCAATGAATATTTTAGTAACACTTCAGTCAGGGGATGCCTCCTGCCTGACAGGACCAGAAGTCTGATTAACCCCAAAGTGGGAGAAGAAAAGCTATTACGAAGAGTGAAGTGTTTAGGTGTTGTTCTTTAATGGTTTCTTCCTTAAAGGGATCATCTCAGTGTCAGTTAGCATAGACTGTATTACACCCCTGTGTTATTAGTTGTCTGTCAAGTCTTTTGGTCACCTAGGGCTTCACTGACCTGAATTAGCTTTAATGGAGATTGGTTGAGTTGCTTAATGACTCTTTCTTTTCTTGTTGCCAGCAGGATGACAGCACCCCGAAGAAGCAGTCTTTATACCTAATGTTTGATGCCCAGCAGGAGAGCCCAGTCAAATCACCTCCCATCAGGCTGTCTGATTCCACAACACCATGCTCAGGGTATGTCTCTGCAAGCAAATTGAGCACTGGAAAAGGATGGAAGGGAAATGGGCTAACACCACAGCACATACACAGGCAATCCTTCCTCTCTCTGCCTCTGTGTTGCTGACTTGTTTGTTTAAAAATAGATTTCCATCTGTGTTCATATGTGACAGAGAATAGAGGGCAAACGTACAGAAGTTTTATAATGGGAAGGAATAAGGGCATGTATTTCTACTTAATATTCTTATTAAATAGACTCACAGGGGCGACTGTTTCACTAGACAATGGCTTCCTACTCACAGCTTTATTCCAGATACTGAGGTCATTTCTCTATCAATCAAGAAATCTCCTAATTGCAACTTTTCCCTTGGCCTTTCCTAGATATGTTTTCTGAACAAGGAGCCTGGTTCATAAGAACAGGATGTGGGGGCTGTGTTTACTTCCAAAAATGTTGCTTGTTAAGGACATCTGTTCTTGTTCGTACAAGTTGTTTGTTGGGAGGGGGGTAGGGCACAGTGAGGAAAGGGTGAAAAGGCAAGTGAGAAATATGTAAGGAATGTGTGTAACCTTTCTGATGGAACTGGCTTTATTTAGATGACTCTGGTGCAATGCTTGGAAAGGGTGTTGCAGAGTGTTATGAGATATGATATGAAGTTGAGTTGAAGCAGTGTGAGTATATATATAGATATACACATGTAAGTCATGAAGAAGACTCGCTTGGTTGTTACCAGGGTGGAATTGTAAGAGCCTTGTGCTCCACCCTGAAAACACATACACAATCTTCTTCCAGGTCAAGTTTTGAAGACCCTGAAGCCCAGCAATCCTCTGGGATGAAAATACAACATCCAGCTTCCCGAGTCCTAGCTGCCAGCCAAGAGGCACACTTACAGTCACCTGACAAGTCAAAGCAGAAAGACCTAGAGCCTATGACCCTAGGAACGACTCCAGAGGCTATTGAAATAGTAAGTAATTCATGATAAGGGTTTGTGAATCATTTTCCTACAGAAATTTCTCATGTCATGTCAAGGTGGATCTTGAAAGCAGAGTGAAACCCAATGTGATGCTTAAAGATTTTGGTAGCAGAATGTGGTGGGACTCAAATGAGTCCAGCTGATGGAACTGGAGGAATTCAAAACAACTTTCTGAATTCTTACTGTAAGTCAACATGTTCTTGTGATAACTGATTCCAAGTTGGTACTTTGAAGTGTTGGGGTTTTTTCTCACACAGGCCTTTCTACAATGTGCTTTAACCCAATATTTGAAGCAATATTTCGTATATAAAATAAAGGGGTTGATTGATATGAACATAGAGACATGATTGTTGCATGTAGTGTGAAATTGCAAGATTTTGTTGGTAAAGGACAGGTACCCTTTCACATTTTCCTATGAACTGTTAACTGTATTGCTGTCATCCGATAACGTAAAATTCACTTTTTTGATCATCAGAACTCATTCCAGTTTCCAGTTAAATCACTTTTTTTCAGTGGTTGGATTCACTTTTTTTCTCTGGGTTGGACTTGAATTAGTGGTGAGCTCTTCCTTGCTTCCCACCTGTGCTGTGTACGGATTTCAGAGCATTGGTTCTCAAATCCAGGAAGGTTCCCTCCAGGCTTCCACTTTTCCAGGCAAACTTGTTTTACAAATGCCTACAGCACTAGGCATGCCAAGCTACATGACAATATATTTACTGGGGAGTCAAAACAAGAAGAAGCTGACTTAAATACTGTGCTTAATTTGTATTAATGATGCGGTTGATACCATCTCACAAAACAATTTTTATGAGCTTCGAGCACTTTCCTCACTGCAGGGAGTTTTGGGTACTCAAATCCCACTACTCTTGGTTGTGTCATTCTAATTCCAGTCTCTTATTGTATATTTATCCTGATCACATTATGATTGTGAACATAACTTAGTTTATCCCCAGTAAGCAGCAGAAGACTTTGTGAAGACTGAGGATCCCCTCAGTTCTGGTGGTCTTCAAAGCTTTTGGACTGCTTTAGAGATGCCTGAGCTGAACATAAGCTGATTTATGAATAAAACCTATGGTAATTTTGAGAACTTGATGTGTCAAGAGTGGGCTGTGGTCCATGGTTTGAGAGCCATTGCTTTAGAGGTCCTAATATTGCTTATTTCATGGTAGTCTTGGAAATTTTACTCAGTTTTTTAATTAGGAAGAATTGTTCTTGATGTTCATCTGTTACCTATGAATGATGTATTCAAAAGTAATCTTCAGTGGGGCATGAAATTACTAGGAATCAAAGGTTTGCAAACACCTATGTTGCTTGTGGCCTGAACTACTTGGGCAAAGTCTCTGTTGCTTATTCTATATCCTCCTTACCCTTCAGGCATCTCCTGAAGACTCCTTTGTCTCTGCTGATGCTCTTCTCAATAGGATATCTAAGAAAACCTCAATCTGTGAGCAGCCTGAGTATCTAGATCCTGACTTAGCAGAAAAGAACCCCCCAGTATTTGCTCAGAAACTTCAGGTTTGTAGCAGAAATATAAGTGTCACTTGTCTTTAAGTTTCTCTATTCACTGCTATAGAAAGGGGTGGGGGGAGGCTTGGAGGGGAGGTGGGATAGAAGCAGAACAGTGGTTTAATTCTTTCCAAAGTAACTTTGGCCTTTCAGGAATGGAAGGAGCAGAGATATTTGATTTCATTCATATAATACATAATCCTAAATTTCATCCACATTTTCAGCTATACCATTGATGTGTCTATTTTGCAGAAGTCTTTATAAAGCACATCTTTTAAGCTTGAATGCAGGACTTGGTATGTGGAGGGTTGCCTTGCAACCTGGCCTTAGTGGGTCTGTATGCAGAGTTCAGGCCCTAATTCTGCTGAAGTGAAAATTAGGCTTTATTTTCCTAGTAATCTAATGCAGAATTTGGCATGGCTTCTTTTAGGAAAAGCAAATTGATCTGCAGACTTGTATGTCAGGGTGTATTTTCTAGCGTATATATGGTGAAATTTTAAGACAGCAAAGGTTGAATTGAGAGCAGCAGCTGGTATAAATCCACACAAAATGAAAATGAAAGGTGAGGAGTCTGTGAAAAACAGCTCTGCCTTTGGAAAACATTTATTTTACCCGAAGTTTTGTTCATACTTACCCTAATGCTGTTTGTCTATTCAGCTACCTCAAAATTAGCCAGCAACTGGAGTTTTGTATCAATGTTCCAGTCATGAAAGAAATATGGGATATGTTTGTCACCCAGGAATTGTCAGAATTTTACATTAAAATATTCCATTTTCAGATGTGTTAAAACATTTTTGCTATGTTCTTAATACTTTTTCTTCTACGATTGCTCACAACCAAACACTTGACAGGAGGAGTTAGAGTTTGCTGCAATGAGGATAGAAGCATTGAAACTAGCCAGGCAGATTGCCCCGTCTTCTTTCTGCTCCAAGGTATCTGGTTTGTGCCTGCCATGTGTGTGTGAGTGTGCACAGACTAAGAAACCGAGTGCTGCTTTGTCTTTAACAAGGTAACTCAGGCTCTCTGAGTGCAGTGCTAAGCTGTGCGCACCCCAGTGTGACACCAAAGAGCATGCTGAAAGCAGTGCTGCACACAGAAATGCTGTCACCTGCTCTGCTCACACAGTACTGCTACCGCCAGGTTAACCAAAAGCAAATCTGAAGGCAAGAAGCAGGCCCATACCTTTTGCAGGAGACAGATTCTGCAATCCAGGTGGCTGTTTGTCTTTTGTCTACAGCAAGATCTGTCCTAAGATGTTTGATGGCAAAGCAATACCAAACCTGCTTCTCATAGAGCTTATACAGATTTTGCCCGTAGGGATATTTTGCCTTTTGTTGGTATTTTCAGCTTGAAATCAGACCCTTTGACCCCTCAGAGCCTAGAAGTGAGAAACTCAATCATCTCTGCCTTCAGGCATCTGAAGAAAGGGACTACAGTATGTTTTAAAGGGCCATAGAGCTCCCAAGGGAAAAAAAAGGCCTCCCAACACAATGTGTCTGTGTTCATGAATCACAGAATCAGAGAATGGTTTGTGTGGGAAGGACCTTAAAGCTCATCCAGTTCCAACTCCTTGCCAGGGGGGGACACCTTCTGCTAGAGCAGCTTGCTCCAAGCCCCTGTGTCCAACCTGGCCTTGAACACTGCCAGGGATGGGGCATCCAATTCCTTGCAGATTAATGGGTGTTTTAAAGTATGTGGCTAGAATCTTTTATTTAATCAAGAAAAAAGTGCCATTGTCTCCATTAGAAACCAAACTTCATTAGTTAGGAACAGAAAAAACAAAGGAGTAAGAACTAAGTACCATATTCCTGTGTGAGGACTAGCCACTCTGTGAGTGCATTCCCTTGCTCCATCACCCTGGCTGTCAGAAGAGGGTGAGGGAGGAACCTCTCTACCTCCCTATTCTCTCTTTACTCTTTGTCCTCCCTGAGCTGTGCTGCAGCAGCACCTCCAGCACCAGGAAACACTCGAGATGAGACACACAATAATACCTAGATGCTCTTTAAAGGTTATACGCTATACTTCTTTTTAGACATCTGCATTTTTGCTACTGGGCAGCAGTTTAGAAACTCACAAACTGTACAATTTTAGACTGAAAAGAGTAGGTCTGGGTGTTTGTGAATTCCTGTGTGTTACCTAGGGAAGATTCTGAGCTGCAAAAATGTTATAATGTGTATTTGATTTGGTGCAGTTATATTTTAAAGATGCTTTTTAACATCATTAAAGCATTTTCTTTTATCTAGAACAAGCTTATGAACTGCATATAACTTAGAAACAGGGACTGGATTGTATGTTTTAGGAAGTGCCATTAAAATGCTTAACAAAGATAGCAAAAATGATAAGCAGAGATAAGGAGAGAAGAACGAGCAAAACTTCACCCTCTGAAGGGGAATCAGCAGCATCTGAATGTTCATGAAGCCCCATGTTGGTCCAGTCATAGGAATGCTTTTAGCTGGGTGCTGTGGGTGTCATGCTGGGCTGGGAAGGACTCCTGTCCTTGTATAACTTTACTGTTTCAGTGGGTGGTTGCTAATGTTAAATTAACCTGTGATGACAGCCCTTGTGACCTGCAGGAGCCAATGGCCTGGATTAAGGTTAGCAGAACCCACCAGATGATGACGGTGATTTAAATTTGGATGCTAACTGGCAGAGTTCCCTTTGGTTGGCTGCCCTCAGTTCTTTTCTTAATGTTGTATAATTACATTTAACATTTGCTAAACCATTACGGGACGGGTAACAAGAATAGGATGCTAAATAAGGACACAAGCAGTTGTTTATGGAAAGTTAGGTCAATGCAAAATGCAAGCATTTTCTGCTAGGATTAGGGCTGAGAATAAGGATGTGCAGTTTGTTGTTCTGAGGCAGAGGGAAGTTATTTGGCCACTCGACAGATTTCTTTCTTCCAGCGCTGAGACTATTTGACACTTCTATATTAAACACTCTCCATTAGGACATCCCATGGCCAATTTTTTATCGATGCAACTTGAATCAGAGAATCACAGAATCCCAGCCTGGTTCGTGTTGGAAGGACCTTAAAACTCATTCAGTTCCAACCCCTGCCGTGAGGGGGACACCTTCCACTAGAGCAGGTTGCCCAAAGCCCCATCCAACCTGGCTTTGAACACTGCCAGGGATGGGAAAGGAAAGAAAACAGAAACAGAACAGAAAGGTGATAGTGTTTGTGTCCACCACTCTACAAGTGCTGAGGTGATGTAGAGTTGGGTGGTGAAATGTGATCTAAGGAAAGGAGAGAAACTGAAGGGAAAGGGATTGACACAAATGTAATTAGTGCATCACAGCTCTGGGGGCTCTTGTGGTAGTGAAGGAAGAGTATTTCCTTCAAAGAGGGATATCATTCTTCATAGGGAAACTTTGCAGGCAGAGAATTTTATGCTTGTACTTTGCTTGCTCCTCAACATATTTGCAAGCACAAATAGGTCTTGTGTTGCCTCCCTTGACCTGTCTGCACACACATCAATTAGTTAAACGAGTAGATCACTTTATATGCACCCAGCACCGAGTTCTTGTAAACAGCAAGCCAGTTTTCCTCAGGGCTAAATACATATTCCTATGAACTGTATGATAAAAATGAGTTTTCATTTTCATTCTAGTGCTTTTCCCTATTTTCTTTGCATTTGACCTTCTGGAATTGAGGTAACTGCAGCTGGTTCATCAATGTGCATTTATTCCCTTTCGGGCCAGATATCTGGTTTCAGTGAAAGATGCTGGGAAGAGAAGCAGCATCGTGTTGGGCTCTCATATATTTACACTAAGATTGCAGTGACCTACATTTAGTAGCAATTCCCCTGCAGAATTTAATCTTTCTGTGTGAGGTTCAGTGACTTATAAATCCCTATTCTCATTATTACACCAGTTAACTGCTTACCTTCTCAGCAATTAAGTGTTCAGCTTGAAGCATTGACAGTTATTTTGCGTAATAACATCATCCTGTTGATCAGGTTACTTTATTTTCTCAGGATAAGAATATTTGGAGGCAGCAAACAACAGCCCCTGAATCGTGCATTGGTTTGGAGCTGTGTAAAATTGGTTTTAGAAGCGAAACCACGAGGTCTTTTACTGGTTCCTCCTTGTGTGAAGCGTTTCCAGCATTAGGACAACCCTGGTTGGGTCACGGCCACAAGCATTTCTGCTCAGTGGTTACATTCCAAGAGTTTTTGCAGTCATCTGTGTAAATTTTAAGTAGTTTTGCATGTCATTATTGCTATTATTTTGTGCAATTCACTCAAATGCAAGAGAGAATTAAAGAAATATTAGAGATGCTTTGAGCACCATATAAATATGTATTCAGTGCTTTAAATATTCTGTTTTCTTTAAAAATGTCCATCATCCTGGCATTACTTTGACACATTTTAACATGAACTTGAGGAAATTCGTGTTTCTTTTGCCACAATTAATATTTCCCATCAATCTCTTTATGAGGTCCAGCAAATGGAGCTGCAGGAGGCTTTTGAAATAGGATACACCCAGTCCAACAGATTACTTTTCAGGATGGCCTTTCTTTTAAGGACAGCTTTGATGATCTAATGGCTCTTTTTTTATCTCTCAGTTATTCTTGCCTTATGTTTGAGAAGGAAACAAAGTACATTTCTTGAAAGTTGGGGCACTGAGTTGAGCCATCAGTAGTCTTATTTATTGACCCTTTTACCTTTACTCAGATCTGTGGACAGCACCATGTGTCTTTGTATTTATGCATTTACACAGATGTCTGAGCTTGTGTCCCAGCTGTGTTTTTTCCTGTACAGTTGTTGTATATTGGGAGACACTTTCAAGAATACAGGCTGTTATTATACAGTTATCTATCATAACTTTGATAGATCTTGTGCAGGAAAATCCACTGGATAATTACACTGGAGTCGATCATTATATTGTGTGTTCATGGCTAAATGTAGCAAAGAAGGGATGGCCTGCTCCATAAAGAGGAGAAGCAATAGTCAATTCCCCCCCAGGTTTAAAAATGAACAAAAAATACAAAGCAAATTAGTGAAAGCCTCTTATATAGACACAGTGTGATGGGGTTTAAGCACTGTTTAGTTTATTCTTGCTCTAATTAACTTTGCTTGCCTAGTCTTTTAATGTTGCTGGTGTGGTTTCTCCATGTTGTCCACAGATGTGGTATCTGGAATATCTACTCCTATGTTTATCTCAAATGAGCATTGTATGTAGTTTTTAATACAGCTTCCGATGGCAATACCCAGACAAGCACCTGGGTTAGCTGGTTGATGGTGTCATGCAAAGCATAGGCAGGAGAGATGGGAACATACAGCTGTGGTGGGGCCTCTGCTGCAGAGGGGTTTGCTATGGATGGGGTCTAAAATGTGGGGTTTTTTTGTTTAGTATCTTCCTAAGTGTCTTTTATAGTCTCCTTGAGTTGAATGTGTTATAACTCGGATTGGTTGCATCTAGAGTTGTTGGCAAGACATCTCGTGCATCACATAACTCTTTTCTGCTCTCTTTTTCATTTCACATGCTGCTCTCTTACTGTATTAATCTGGACATGAGCAAAATTGGCAGCTGCAAATAAAACCTCCTTTAACTTACTAATTGCATGGTAAATACCAGTGGTGCAGCAATGTCACTTGTATATTCACACTTTTAATGTAATACTGTTTATGATAGATACAGTATATTGGCAGGTCAGATGTAATAGAGCTCTCCTCTTGCTTCTGGTTTCTTACTCTACCTACATGGATGCAGAATTCCTCTTAACAAGCTCTTTGCCTCCAATTCTAACTCCCTCTGCTGTCATGCATTCCTTGTGGAAGCTTCAGTGACATTTCCACATCAGAAAGTAGTAAGTTTTTTAATACAGGACTTTAAAATATTGGTGGCAAGGTGCTGCCTTTATTTCCCCTCTATAAGGATAATATGGCTTTCTTGGTGCTTACTATGCCTCTTAAATGTGTATTTTATGATTGCTAAATTCAAAGTTCCTTGTCAGTTTTATTGCTGATAAAACTTAGTAGTGCGCAGGTGTCCAGTCCTAAGCCCAGGACCCTGGTACCTGGCACCACAGGCAGAGAACACATGAGCTAAACACGTATTTAATGGTTCATTTCTTTGTATTTGAAAAAACAAACACACAGAGAGAACCTGCTATCCCAGCAGATGTTTCCATCTCTAAGAGCGCTCTGTACTCCCGGATCGGCACCACGGATGCAGAAAGCACCACGGGTCTCCTCTACCCACAGCAAGACTTAGACTCTGCACTACGACTCGCCAGAGCAGAGGTAATTTTCTTCCCAATTTGGAAAGGGAGAGGAAATATGTGCCCCTTGTGGTTTTCTTCTTTCCTGTGTTCTCCCAGTTCGATTGTATTATGGACGCTTGTTCTATTCTTGAAGCCATTCTCCGCCATGCTAAAGCCACGCTAGAGGCAGAAGGCACTGTGCTGTAGGTTTTACTTTATGGGATATTAGTGAAAAGCAGACACTATATGAATATAAATCTGTATTGGGCTTAACCTCATGTGTACTCTGTGAATCTTGATATTGCTGTGTAATTATATGAAAATAGTCAGGCACTAGAAATAGGTGTAAAATAGTGTATTTTACAAAGCTACATATGAGATTATTCTGGCTAATAGTAGCAATTTAAAAATGGGTGCAATCTAATGTTAGAGTATTCCAAATTTTATGATAGATTGTGTGAAAGGAGCATAAAGAAACACAGACCGTTGGGTATAAAATGTCATGGGCTATTAGCCCTAAATACACACACGGAAGCAGTAGAGCCCTCTTGGAGGACAAACCAGGGGAGATGTTCCAAACCCCTGTAACAGAAATGATTAAGGTTTAGCACGAGGTCAAAGCAGACACAGTGTAGTGTGGCATAGTATTTCTTGACACGTGTCCTTGTTATAATCAGGAATGAAATATGAAACAAGAACATTGAGTTAGCTTTTCAAAACTTGAGTGTGATTTCACATCCAAACTTATTTAATTGCACCCTTAAAAGAGCAAAAAACCATTGGGATGCTTATATTTGAACCCATTATGCACTTTGAAACTGTACGTGTGTTAATGAGGATTTGATACTAAATCAAATATTGTACAGCTATTTAATTTCCCCTTTAACAGATCACTTGATTTTACTGTGGGTTTTTTTTCCCCTTTGCTTTCTTTGTTTCAGATTGTGTCCAAGGAAAGGGAAGTATCTGAGTGGAAAGAGAAATACGAAGAAAGCAGAAGGGAAGTGATGGAAATGAGGTGGGTTATTAACTTGTCACTGATCACACACTGACACTGAGTCTCCTTTCAGCCTGCAGACAGCACACAGAGTACCATGATTGTACAACTGTTTGGGTTAGCTGAATTTGTTCAGCTGTTTTTACCTGCAGGCTTTGGGATGATCCTAAACTGATAACTTCATCTTTGCTCTGCATGGTGGGCACCCATTATGTGGCATGGTGGGCACCAGTGTTTAGGGTTGTCATTGCAAACTTCTATGTTCCTAATCTCATTTACGTCATCAGAATACTGAGATAGGAGAGGTCTTAATCTAACAATAGCAAAGAATTGCCTCCACTTTGTGCTGTGAATTCTCTCATGGATACACGGGGATGTTTCTGTTTCCTGTGTGGATGAATCCACCTACAGGACTGGCAGAGGTATGCACATGCTAATTTAAAATCCACTCTCCGCAAATAGTTTTGCCAACAGAGAAAAACTGTGAAGGTCTAAAGATAGGTATGAGGATATTAACAAGAACCCAGTTGCCTGTAGAAAACCATTTCTTGCAAAGGAACCACACTGGCGTCCAAGTCTTGACTTTCAAGGAGATTCTGCACCCTTTTCTTCGAACTGAGTTCATTTTTCAGTTCCTGCACACACAAAGCTTGATTTTAGTTAAGCAATAGTTACCTTGGATTTTGCTCATTTTACCAATGAGCTTGACCTGCTCATCAATGTGAATTGGAGAAAATCATCACTTGCAAAAGGGAATGTATAAAAGTATTTCACAGGGTCTTTAAAGCCTATTATTTTCTACTTTCAGACAAACAGAAAAGCCATCCCCTTCTTAATTCATAAATAAAAGGAAACTGTTAGAATATTTTAGCATCCTTCTTTTCAGTAATAATGTCTGCAATTGCTTCTGAGACAGAATTTTCTTCAACATCACTTCTAGCACCTAAAATTTAATATCTTGGAGGTTTAAAGCTAAAGCAAATGAGCCGTGCCAAGTGATGACCTGCATATGTAATTCCTGCTTATATCCAGGAAAACTGCCCTTAGGGAGTAAGGGTAAAAGGGAGCTGTGGTGCAGAACTCAGCGAACACCAGCATGGATGCCAAGAGTGGCACATGGCAGATTTGAATAGTGCGGCACAGGGCTTGGAGCCAGAACTTAAGAGAAGCATCTGCAGAAGGCAAGGGCTTTAGTTCTTTCAGAAAGCATCTCAGCACCCTGCTGAGCTCTCTCCCCTCTTGTGCTCTGTTTGGGCAAGGAAACAAAACCCTGGCATTGCCCTCAAATGCATAATGAGGCCGAGCGGAAGGGAGCTGCTGCAAGCACTCAAACCGAGGAAGCAAAACAAGGAATGAACAACATTAGGAGCTGTGTAAGGAATGTCTCGGCGCTCACTACACACTTGAGTGCAGTATTTGGTCTGTTCTCTGGGTGCACGTGTCTGCTGGCTGTCAGTGGGCACTGACAGGGGTTGCTTATTCCTTAATGAAAGGAGAGCAGGGGCTGACAAAGAGTGGCTGGCACAATGTAGATGTGTGCCTTCCTCTTCCTCACAGCAATTTGCTTGTGTGTCTAAACCCTCCATAACTTTTGATTTGGAAAAAACAGATTATCTAAGACAAATTTCCCACAGGTGCATCCCTGGAACACATGGGTGAAAAAACCCTGAGTAATATTGTCACAAAATGCTAAAATATGCATGTGTGCATAAAGAAAGATTTCTCTTGGAAGATTAAATGTTGAAACTGTCCACATGTGGGCTATTAGAGATGTAGCAATTAGATATCACATAATGATAAGCAAGGAGTGAAGGGATCTATCTGGACTTGTGCAAAGTATGCAACATTGTCCTGCATGACATCCTTGTCTCTGTATTAGAGAAATATGAAGTTGATAGATGGTCCACCCATTGGATAAAGAATTGCCTGGATGGTGGCACTCCAAGAGTTGTGGTCGATGGCTCACCATCCAAGTGGAGACCGGTGGTTCCCTCAGAGGCTGGTGTTGAATTAAGTGCACACTCAGCGAGTTTGCCAACAACACCAAGCTGTGTGGTTGCTGTCGACACGCGGGAGGGAAGCAATAGCATCCAGAGGGACCCGGACAGGCTGGAGAGGTGGGCCTGTGTGAATGTCATGAAGACCAACAAGCCCAAGTGCAAGGTCCTGCCCTGAGTTGGGGCAATTCCAAGCACAAATACAGGCTGAGGGAGACTAGATGCAGCAGTCCTGGGGAGAAGGACTTGGGTGACAAGAAGCTAGAAACATGATGTTATTTCACTTCGATGCTGACTGCCATAGTTCAATCTAGGCTGGGAAGTGCTGTAGTGAGGAAAGTGTTTAATGTCATGTTCATTGCCCTGAGTCCTTGGCTCCATTTTCTAACATGATAAAACATCCTAAAAGTGTCTGGTGTTACAAGGATATGACATGGCTTTAAAATCTTGCTGCTTACAGCAGGCTTTTGAGGTAATCCTCTTTGGACATGAAACCAATCCCTACCTTTTAGGGGAAAAACCCTTGCAGCTATCTTTGCTCTCAAAAGTGTCATTTATGGTAAAAAATAGAAAAAAGCAAGTTACAACAACAGGACCAACAGCAGGGAGAACAGCATCCAAGAAGATCCCAGTGGAGGCAATGGCTGTAGCTGTGCAGAGATGGGTTCTTGCGCTAGTACCAGAAATGGTTTCTACCTGAAGCCTGAGCAAGGTCAGGGGATGTGCAGGTGTAAGGCCCTTGCTCTGCTGAGTGTTCTGCAGAACCAGGGCAAGTGAGACCCTACTGACCTTTGGGTCAAGTGCCCTTCCCAGGGGGCTTCTTGACTGACTGTGGTTCATATTCGTGCCGTGCTGGAGTTACTGCATCAGTTATCTGGGAGCTCCACAGGTTTCTCCTTTCCTTACTGACTTGTCTCAGCTTTTTACCACATCCTTTCTGTAACCCCACCAAGTTCTCTAAAATGGAGCAAGTGAACGCAAGCTAAGACTTCAAAAGAGACGTATTCAAATACCAGTGAGCTATTTTGAATATCCACTTCAGATGAAGTGTAGGGTAATTTTGTTTTTCATAGTCCTGTGTGGCTCATGAATCAAAGCACGGATCAAGCTAGTCTCATTTCATTAGCTTTATTTGGCTCTGGGAAGGGATGGATCATCTTTCTAAATCACATTTAATCTGCTTATTTTGGCTAACCTCTTTTCAAGAAGGAAATTCAAAGCTTGCCGTGAGTATACGAAATAAAATAGTCTCAAAAGTTACACTTTGCCACTTCTGTTTCAGAAACAGATTTGGGAAATAGCACAAAATCCATCGTGTCCTACATAATTGGGTATTTTGGTCTTGTTCTTTGAAGTGCTAATGGATCGTGTAGTTACTTTTGGAGAGTGGAAGATTAGATATATGTTGGATGAGGTCCAGTTATATTTCTGTTGGGTTTACTTGCTACAGATTATAACTTTGCTTAACATTTACTTTTGAAATAAGCAAACGCAAGCATGGAGAAGTGGGGAGAGAGTGATGGAAAACTCAGACTCTGCAACTCTTGGATTAGACCAGTGTGCTTATGTTTATATCAAAGTCATGATTGGTAATGGGCATGCTTCAAGTAACGCGATTCGTTTCAAAGCAATCGCTTATTCTGCCCCAAACTGTATTGATTTACATGGAGAATTAAAAATCAGGTTCAATGTTTGAACTGCTAGTTTTATTTGTTATTCAGGTATTAAAGTCTAACTTTTATACGCTCCTCTTAAAGTACTGTAGTTCAGTTGCTGAGCAGCATTATTTTCTAAGTAAGCATTAGCAGTTCCGGTGTTCTGTGATGTTTATGAACTCTGTGATGTTTGCTAAAAGCTTTTTGTTTTTCTCCTCTTACAGGAAAATAGTTTCAGAATACGAGAAGACGATTGCTCAGATGATAGGTACGTGTTTCTGCTCTGAAACATGCTATCCTCCACTCTGATTTTCTGAAGAGAGCCTAGAGATGTGGTTGCAGTCTGTGGGCTTCATTCTGATGCTGGCTACATCTGCCGGTGCTGCTGGGAATTGGGAATGCATCTGAGGACACCAGTGTGTGCTGCCAGGGTGTGATGGAAAGCCAGGGCTTTGTTTTATAGGAAGTATGCCCCGAGGCAGTCCAGGTAATACAGAAAGGTCAGGGCTTTCTCTTCTGCGTCAAAGCAAACAGTCCCATAAGAAACATTACAAATGCTTTACCCAGAATTCATGGGTATCTCAGGGGGAGACTGTCAGTGACCTAAAAACCCTTTAGTCATCCTGGCTGTTTAATGGGAGATACTAACTTAGCTCTTTACAACAACCAGGATTATCTGTGCTAAGTGCATTGGTCAAACCAAAACCTAGATTAACTCAAATCCCAGTTGAGAGATTATGAAAGGCCAATCCACCTCCCCACTTACTTACTGACATAGGGGTCTCCTTTAAGGTCTATTTTATGACATATGTGGCCTCACAATAATTAGAAAACACCTTTGTTAACAGCATACCCCACCAATAAAAACACTACGTGAAGTAGCTTTTCAAAACCAACTGTTGCAGGACTCGTGCTTCCTTGGCACAGGAAGTCGGGCCATTGGGATGTGATTTTAAAGCCTCCTCATAAGATTTCCAAAGCTCTTTTCCTTAGCCTGGCTATGGAAAGCACCAGTGACTTGTGCTGCCCTGTGCTGCTTCAGCTCCAGCTGTCTCCCAGCTGAGTGGGGTCATGAGTTCTCTATGGCCAAAATTGATGGGAAAAGCAGGAAAAGAAGCAGTGGCTGAGGAGAAAGCAGGACTGAGCTCATCTGGACAAATTCCAGTAAGGCAGCAAAGAGCTGTGAAACATTAAAAGCCATTGGGAGGGTCCTCAGAGTTAAACCTGAGCTGTGAGATGCAGGAGAAAAGCGAATTGCACCCATGGGCAGGGAGTGTGATGAATGCAGCTTGTTTGCACTGTGTCTATTGGCAAACAGAAAGATGTGATTCCTCCTATTCCCCTTGAGAGAGCTGTCACTGAGGGTACAATACGCCAGGAGCCCAATGGGCACACCTGCATCTGTCTGAAAGCTTTTGAACAGGAAGGATTTTTAGTACAGCTCTCAGTGTACCCTATTGGTTTGCCCCTTTTAGATTTGGTGGTCCCCTCATCTGCAGTCAGTACAATGTGACCCCCAAATTTGTTGTTTCTTTTAAATTGGGTTTTTTTTTCTTTAATTAATACTTGAGTTGTATTTATGTTTGTAGCACATTTGCTTATATTTATATAAAGAAAGGGGGGAAAGTAGTTTAATATCTGGTGCTTTTGTTGCCTTCCTGCATCTGTTGGATGATGGTAGACATCTCAGTCTCTTTTTAAGTGAAGGGAAAAATGGGTCTATAAATAAATAAATAAAACAATTTAATAATCATAATAGCAGCAATACCAATAATCATAGTAATGTATGGTATATAATAATAGTATGCCTGGCTTCATTCTTTATGGTGTTATATGCCTCTGCTGCTTTCTCTATGTACAACTGAGCCAACTTGCCTGCCTTCTGACGTAGTGTCTGTCGTTCTCATCATGCAAGTGTTAAAGAAGGAGCATCCAGAGTATGCAAAGAACTTAACTCATTTTGGTTTACACTCAATGTACGCTACTATGGCTTCATCCCTGAGGCTGGCCATTCATATGGGCAAACACAGGAGGTCTCCTTTTTTCCCAAGCATATGCATATAGCAGCAGAAGGGGTTTTGATAACAATTCGGAGTCTGGTTTTGAGAAACAGATTAAAAAGAAAACAATCAGGTTGTGAGGACACAGTGTGATAAGAAGGTGTAGATTAGGGGTCCTAAGGCCAAGGCATACATAGTAAATTTGACCATTACTGTTTCCTCTTGGTGCAAAGAAATCAAAGATAATTAAAGCCTTGGGGCATTGATCAATAAGGCAATAGAAAAATCTTTAAACTTCAAATTCAGACTATCAGTCAGAGACTTTCAAATGATCTAGGGCAAGGTTTTAAGAGCTGTGGCTATAAATACTGTGATTTGCTGCCCTTTGCAAAGGAACTGAAGCAACACCAGTGACACAGAAAGCATGTGTTAATTAGAGCCATATGCAAATTCTACATTAAATGTGAGGCCTCTTCTCCCTGCATTTAATGTAAACTTTTGATCTAATTGTCCCACTTTCTCCTCTCATTTGTTGTAAACTACTGTCACTTCTGCTAAAGGGATTTGTTCATCCAAATGCCACGTTGTGGAGGACAGTGATTGTCTGTGTGCTATTTGCATATATTCACTGAACTATTATCACAATAATGCCTTACTGCTAAAGCAGATATGCATTTTAACAAAAGAAATGCTTGTGCTGTTTATTTATCATTTAACCCTCCTGAGCTGTTTCTACAGCCCTGTTAGGAGGGCATTACAGAGTGAACCCATTTCACAAAGCCCTTTAATGAATATTCAGGGTGGTTGATAGGTTGCCATGGGTATATGTAATGGCTATTAAAAATATTCCATATTAACAATATATAGAACCCCAGCCTGGTTTGGGTTGGAAGTGACCCTAAAGCTCCTCCAGTTCCAACCCCTGCCATGGGCAGGGACCCCTTCCACTGGAGCAGCTTGCTCCAAGCCCCTGTGTCCAACCTGGCCTTGAGCACTGCCAGGGATGGGGCAGCCACAGCTTCTCTGGGCACCCTGTGCCAGCGCCTCAGCACCCTCACAGGGAAGAGCTTCTGCCTAAGAGCTCAGCTCAGTCTCCCCTCTGGCAGGTTCAAGACATTCCCCTTGGCCTGTCCCTACAGGCCCTTGTCCCAAGCCCCTCTCCAGCTTTCCTGCAGCCCGTTTAGGTATTAGAAGCCTGCTAAAAGGTAATTATTGTGATATGATTGTGTATGTTTGCCTAAAAAGGCACGAAAGTGTGCATTGCAAACCATTTCCCTTTGATTTCAAGGGCCATAGAAGGTCTAGTATTTGCTGTCATACACCTATAGAACCCCATATTACCTGACTTAGCCTATGCAATTAGTTTGATGCCACTCTCTACAGCCAGCACTTGCAAGCTATCGGTGTATACACCGCTGTTAGTGGCTCTTTGCATAGTCTTGTACTGGTGCTTTCACTGGTTTTCCTTTTTTTCTTACACTGCCCCAACCCCCAACACATTCTTGTTTCTACTCACGACTGGGTATTGAAAACAACAGGCTTTGCAGGCTGTTGCTGCTTGTGCTACTGCTTTGCTGACTGTTGCCCAAGGTTTGCCCTCACTGCTGCGTGGCACTGACAGCCCCGTGGACCAGAGCCTGTGGAACCCCAGTGTTCACTGCACCCCATGCTGCACACACCTGGGTCACAGCCAGTCACAGTTCCCTTCCAAAATCACTTTCCTTGATGGATTTGTAATGTTGGGGTTGTTTTTTTCCTGTTAAAAACGTGTCCTTCTCCTTGTACATTGAAATATACAATTAAATTCCCATTATGAAAACCAAACAGATGTTATGCTTTGTGCATTACAAATTGTTGCATTACTTTCTGCTTTCCTAACAATTCCTGATTTTCTGTTTTGCTTCCGTTTCTGTTGCTTCTTGCTATTTGCTTGCAAAAACAAAACAGGCAAGCCTGGTAAGTAAAGCTTTTCACCAACTTTCACACCTGCATTTGGCATTTTTCATTTGTTTTGCTTTTGTTCTCTGTTTGCTTCATTCCCATTAAGTAATGTAAGTAATTCTGAGCTGAGCCTGAAAGCGGATCTGCTGCGGTGGTGCTCTGATTCTGTCAGTTTGGATAGTGTTAGTCCTGAGCACCCTGTTGTTATTGTTGGTGAGCAGTGGACAGTGTGTGTTGCAGATGTCAGAGCTATTGAACTGAACTATTTTAAGCACATAACCTCATAAATATCTTTATAAATAAGTATCTGTAACTGCTTAACTAAGATTTGACTGGCAGAATCTAATCAGTGCTGCTCCACTAAGCAGCGTTCTCATTAAAGCTGAACTATAGCTTAGAAAATATCACATAGATTTTCCTGTCCCCATCCAGCTGGATGCCAGCTTCTGTTTTCTGTAGTATTTAACCACTTTGGGTTTAAATGTTTCTTAACTGTGTTTATCAGATGCCCCTTTCCTAAGGCTCACTGGAAACTTCCAATTTATATGAAAGTTTCCCTCTTTTCAGTTTATATGTCCCCAATATAAATTCCAGTTTTCTCCTTAAGTTTTAATAAGGGCCTCATCTCTCTCCATGGACACCTTTAGGATGCAGTGAAAGGGAGAGGAGAAAGGGAGCGTTGCATGCTACCTGCCCCTAATTCCCATGTGGAAATGGGGCTGGGATGAGTATTTGAGGAGCAAGAAGGATGCACTGGGAGGAACAGGAAGAGCTTGGTAGTTCTGAGGGAGTCATGGACGTGTCACTTGTCCTAGAAACAAAAAAGAAGGAAGTTGCTAAAATACCACAGACAGCAGAAAAAGGGAAGCTGTGACATTAAAGGCATTTAAGTACATTACGTGATCATGCAAATGGATCCCTTCTGCAGGGATCTGTGACAGCAGAGGTCTTGCCAGAGAGCAGGATCCTGCCAGGAAGCGTTTGGGAATTAAGCTAGAGAGTGTGTAATCTCCAGCGTGATTAACCAAATCTCGTGCTGGCACACACAAGGTGACGACTTCTCAGGTTTAGAGGAATGAAGGGATGACAAATGGTTTTCACATTTTCATTGAGAATACCTTAATTTTGACATTATAGTTACATGTCTCTAACATTATAGTTACAGGGTGCCTCTAAGAAAGCAACAGAGAAAAGAATGTTTATTTACTATGAAATGTTGAACGTTATCGAACTGACACAGCATTACAGGGCTCTGGGTTTGTCTGTTCAGGGTGTTTGTTCACCAGTAAAATAAAGGTGTTACGATTTCCAGTGCTGCAGACTCAGTGCACCCTGAGAGCTGCTATGGTCCTTCTGGTCTCCTATGTCACAGAGAGCAAAATAAGCTCAGGTCAGGCTCTATCCAAGCAAGATGCTGTGGAGAGTGTGCAGAGGAGCACAGAACGTGGCCAACGTGAGCATTGCCACTGCTCTGGGATGGGTTAGGCTAGGAAAAAGGTGTATAAAAGGGGTAAATATGCAAAAGGAAGAGATTAATCTCAGTTTGGGAATTGACAGCATCAACTCTGAGATTTCAGAGCTGAGCAGCACTGTGAAATACTTAACTCAGATTAAGATTTCCATTCAAATAAGAATATAAACTCTTGGTTAGTTCTTTATATTTCAGAATATAAAGGCCTGAATGAACAGTTGTAGCCTCTGAAATGCCCTGTGATTTTTACACGGGAGAACTTATTTTAGTTTCCATCACAGACAAAGGAAAATGTTAATATGAAGCTGCTGTGTTTTGCGGGTGGGATTTCATTTCAGTATCATTTAAAGTAGCCCTTAAAAGATGGACACAAGTGTCACTTTTAAGGGTATGAAACAAACATGCGTTTTGGAAGACAAGGCCAGACCTTTTCTTCCAGTGTCATATGGGTATTCCAATTTACTACTAGGTCAATTCCTTTGAAAAGTTCTCCTCCTTATGGATTTGGATTCCTGTTCCCTCTCTCCCTGACTCAAATTTAACCATACACAGGAGAGGCTTGGAAGATGCTTTGTGCAGACCAGAACTTAGGAAGTCTGTCTAGTGTTAGATTTCCTTCCTGCCACTTGCTACAGAATGAGTTTGCAAAACACTGTTTTTCCAAGGGAAGAATTGAGTTCCGTTAAACAAAGTGCCTTGTTTGTAAAGATTAGGAGAGATGCCAGGAGGTGAGAAGCACCTGTCAGCAATGGCCCATAATTTATTGCCAGAGCTAGTAATATGCATAAATGTCCTTTCCTTCAGCTAGTGCATCTTCAGGCCAGTGAGGGAAATCCAGCATCAGCCTTTCTCATGGGAACAGCGGAGTTCAGAGTGCAGTAAATCAACAGTACAGAGTTACAGTCACATTTTTCCCCACCATCAAAACATTTAGATATAATGTATTTAGCAGCCTTTTTCCAAAACAGGATTGTGTGTTTTTATAAAAGTGACTTTTATTTGGATCCTCCAAACTTACTAATCCACAACACAGAGCACAGTAGAGTTGAAACTATAGATGACAGTGAAATCAGTGTTCTCTTACTACTATTACCCTTCTGAAGATCACTGTTTTCCCTCCCCCCTCTTCTTTCTAACAGAGGATGAACAGAGAGAGAAATCTGTCTCCCATCACACTGTTCAGCAGCTGATAGTGGAGAAGGAACAAGCGTTGGCAGATCTGAACTCAGTGGAGAAGTCACTGGCAGATCTTTTCAGGAGATACGAGAAAATGAAAGAAGTATTGGAGGGGTTTCGGAAGGTGAGTCCTGTTAAAGCCCCCTCCTTCAAAGAGCAACGTGGAGCAGGGTCTCATGTGGACCAGTTCTGCTTAATGGAAGGCAGGACTTCGTTTCCAGTTGAATCTGATGTACTTTAGAGGGCAGTGTGCTTGGGAAGGGAGAACATGACTGCTCATTTGTGCTTTCCCTTTGGAACAGCTTTAAAAAGATGGAGATTTTCCATAAGAGCAACTTGCTTCCGTCTGTGACACTGTGATTGCAGTAGGTGACCCATAATCTGGAGGGGGGCTTTTGACAAGGGGACAGGCCAAGGGGAATGGCTTGAACCTGCCCGAGGGGAGACTGAGCTGAGCTCTTAGGCAGAAGCTCTTCCCTGTGAGGGTGCTGAGGCGCTGGCACAGGGTGCCCAGAGAAGCTGTGGCTGCCCCATCCCTGGCAGTGTTCATGGCCAGGTTGGACACAGGGGCTTGGAGCAAGCTGCTCTAGTGGAAGGTGTCCCTGCCCATGGCAGGGGTTGAAGCTGGATGAGCTTTAAGGTCCTTTCCAACACAAACCAATTTGGGATTCTATGACTTGAGCCCATGCCAGGGCTGGCTTCTGGTCTGAGCATTCTGTTCAAACCTCAGATGTGAATTCCTCAGGTAGAGGTTATGTCTAAAGTGTGTGATACAACATTATCCTCCAGTGAAGGATTGCAGCCATGTATCAATGCAGAGTTGTAAAGCTTTTTGCGCTGTGTAATAGTGCATCAGATAGCTGTTCCATGGGGGGTGTCAGAGTTAGACTGCAGCCCTGAGTGTAACTCCCACAGGTAGGTGTCTGTCCTTCACTTCAGCCTCTCGTATTAGATTACATTGAATGTAATCTTCTCATTTTAGAATGAAGAAGTGTTAAAGAAATGTGCGCAGGAGTATTTGTCACGAGTAAAGAAGGAAGAGCAGAGGTATCAAGCACTCAAAATTCACGCTGAGGAAAAACTGGACAGGTAAGGGACTGTACACATCTCTCTTCAGGAGTATTCTTGCAGCTGGACCTTGTATCCCAAACCTGCTCCCTCAGTACACAGAGCACAGGCTGCTCTGGGATGAAGGGTGGAATGAAACACCATAATGAGGATTCCTGTGATGTGCTGGTGTTTCTACCAGCTCCTGACCATACTGAACACCTTAAATTTTTGTCTTCAACAAATGTCTTCATGTTTCTTTAACTTATTTATATAGGGACTGTAGCGATAGGACAAGAGGTAACGGATTAAAACCTAAACAAGGGAAGTTTAGATTGGATATAAGGAAGAAGTTCTTTACTGTAAGGGTGGTGAGGCACTGGAATGGGTTGCCCAGGGAGGTTGTGAATGCTCCATCCCCGGCAGTGTTCAAGGCCAGGTTGGACGAGGCCTTGGGTGATATGGTTTAGTGTGAGGTGTCCTTGCCCATGGCAGGGGGTTGGAGCTGGATGATCTTAAGGTCCTTTCCAACCCTAACTGTTCTATGATCCTATTTTCCAGGGAAGATGGAGAAGGAAGCCGTTAGCTAGGTTTGTGCAGCTGTGGAGGGCTGTGCTCAGATGCCTGCACCTGCAGCCAGTATTCCTGCCCCCAGAGATTTGCTATTGCCCCCGTGCTGTATTAGTGCCCCTGCATCAATCAGCAGAACAGAACATGTAAGTGCAGCTCAGCCCTTTCAATGCAGAATTAGTCTCTACCCAGTAACATCAGTTATCTGAGTTGGATCAGCCTGACTTGGGCAGAGGGTGATGAGGAATAGTCATTTAGAGAAAGAGAACAGTGCCAGAAAGAGGCAGCTCTGGTTGATCTATTTCTATATGCTTCCATGTAATGGCCAATTAAGCATTTGTAGGAATTCCAGTCAGGACTCATATACAATCCCGTAGACCCAGAAGATGCTCCCAAAGGATTGATCAGTGCCTAAAACAAAGTAAAACTTGGATTTGCTTTCCAGCTGTTGTCCCAGCTGTGAGTCTAGACTAGACTGAACTAGAATTAGACTAGTAAGTCTAGTTCTAATAAGAACTAGAGATCATGTTTAGAAGCTGCCATAAAATACTTCTACATAAGTGATGTCACCCCAACAGATACCTGAGAGAAGCATTAAGAAAAGGCTCTGCAGCCTACACTAAACAAGAGAGGGAGTCATGAAAAGCCTCTAGAGACAAGTCTCTCAATACTTCGAAAGGCAGGCATCAGTTAAGAGGTGGTCCATCCCAAAGGGGTACCAAAGTACCCCCTGTCGTTCCTTGTAGGGAGCCTGACGTGACACAAACCTCTGCTTTTCTAGAGCCAATGCTGAAATTGCACAAGTGAGAGGCAAGGCTCAGCAAGAGCAGGCAGCGTACCAGGCCAGCCTTCGTAAAGAGCAGCTCAAAGTGGACGCATTGGAAAGAACACTGGAACAAAAGGTAAGCAGCCATTCAGCTCCTTTAATACAGACGTCAATGGGATGACCAAACTCAAGTGTAATTTGCTTAATTTTGTAATTAAGTAAACACTGTAATTTCAGTGCTGACTTACGTTACTCCACCGTTAACAGACAAAATGGTCAGATACATCTATCTGTACAGTTTAAGGCAAAAAGGGATGTAGTTTATATCTCCAGTTTATATCCCTGTTTATACCTCCTGTTCTCCAGCACAGCAAAGGAGCTTGCTTTTAGTACAGTACAGCTTGTACTTGCTTAGAGCCCTTGGAAAACAGGGTGAAAGTAATGCTGTAGAAGTGCAGCCTAGAAACACATTTATGCTATGTATTATTATCGTGTGCTAGAAGTGACTTCTGTAAAGCTGTCTGCTCTAGAGCTAAGTTGTTACTGAAGTCAGAGGAGCTGTATATGGAAATAAGGTAATAATAGTATTTAAATGAAGTATAGGTATCTGTACTACGTATGCATATATATCTCTATATGTATATATCTATACATATGTATGTTTATATGCATAGATATTCTGTACTTAATAGCTATACATATATCTACAGACAATCAATACAGAATATATATACATGTAGAGAAGAATATATATGCACACACACATAATGTGTATGCACACACACATATGTAGAGATATTCAGCACTGGAGAAAACTTCATTTTCCCAACTTTTTTCAAAGGTTAGATAATTAAACCAAAACCTAATCTTAATGCAACAATTATTTTTCATAACACTTACTAATGCCTTTTATTTTCCAGAATAAAGAGATAGAAGAATTAACAAAGATTTGTGATGAACTGATTGCCAAAATGGGGAAAAGCTAACTTCTAACCAAATTTCTGGACTTCCATATTGAGTGCAATATGACCATTGGCACACTGATGTCCATACATTTATGTGGACAGGTTATATTTTCACTTTTTCGTATGCACTACTGTATTTTCTTTCTAAATAAAGTTGATTTAATTGTATGCAGTACTCAGATGACTATCAGAATTTCTTGCTATTGTTTGCATTTTCATAGTATAATTCATAGCAAGTTGATCTCAAAGTTCCTGTATCAGGGAGATTGTCAAGTTCTCTAATTACAAATTGCTGATCCTAGCCTTCCCTTTGTACATGAGTTCCCATGTTGGATGTCTTTTGGATTTAATATAAACATGTATTACTTGCATGGGGACTCTTGCCTTAAGGAGCATAAACTTTATCTGCATTTGCTGATTTGTAAAATAAAATGAAAAATGGAAGAAAAAAAAGGAAATGCATGTCACTGAAATGAAATTCTCTATTGTAAATAAATTTTTTCGTTGAAAGTTGAAGATGAGAATGGTTCTGGTTTATGGACTTCAGTGGCTTACTTCTTGTGCAGCTCTTACTAATGAATTCCTTTGCAGAAAGCATTTTGGGGGCCATTCAGTACTTGGAGCACTCCGTGGGGCATGAGGATATACCACTTATGTGCACATATCTGTGCCTGTATCTTGCTGTCTCTATAAATATATATATATGTATGCACTAGATTTGGACCACTCAGGTCTCAAGCACAGACTTAATCCTCCAAAATGTTTAATGCTCTGACGCTGATCCAACAAATCCCATAGGGAGATGTGACGAGGCTCTTTGCACAACTCAAAGGCAGTGACACACGGTGGTGGAACAGTGGTTTTTAAGCACATCTATCACTGAAAGGTGGATGCATTTTCTTCTTCCTGCCCCTGGAAGCACTTGCCTGCCGGGTTTGTGGAGATGAAGTACGTGTGCTTAGCAGTACAACCAGAATAAGCTCGATAAGTAGCATTCTTGGACACCTCTTTATCCTGTGAGTTATCCTCTGCAGAGGATTAGGTATGTAAGAGAAGCATTAAGGCTTTAATAGCAAACAAACTGCTTTCTTTGCTTAATGGTGCATCTCTTGCATTTCCATGATGTGGACAGTCTTCAGCCTGGTTCTTGTCACCTCCCTTTTTGTACTCAAAAGTAAGTCAACTCCCTTTTCTTTCCTCCCTTAATTCTTTTTCATTTCCTACTTCAAGCATGGCTGAGCATCTTTGCTGTTCTGGGCTTTCTCTCCCGGCTTTGCTTGGTTTGAGATTAGTTTGTGGATGTGGTTAGCAGCTCAGAATGTCACCTCTGCTGTGAATTATAAGCATCAGTATCTATGTTAACAGTAGCAAGTATGCCTTCTGCTCTGCAAGTTGCAAGTATGGTATTTGAAATGGGTTTCAAATTCATGCTTGTCTTTGAAACTACTGTGTAGCTGGAACCAAGGAAAGAAAGAGGATTACGTTATGGTTGTAATGTTTAGGCAAAAGCAAAACGTAATGTGCAGTGTGCCTTCCAGCTGAGCTCTTATACTTTAGGAGAAAATGAAATCTGGATCATAGTTATATTTTTTTGTGTTTAAAATGTCCTATTTTATGGTACTGTGGACCAAAGATCATGAAGGAGGGAGGAAAAACATGATGCTCCAACTTCTTACAGTGGCCTCTGCTCTAAAGATGTTACAAGAAGGTGTGGATGCAATTACAGAACATCAGGTGTTCTCAGGTTATTTGAATTGTAACAGCTAAGTAATATATGGCTAATTTTATTTTAATCTTTAAAATCAGTATCTAGACCACTTATAAAAAAATAATATTGATAGAATTTGCAATTCTTTATATTTTTTAAACCTTTTTGCAACTTTTTCTGTATTACTCATACAAAATTAGGAAGATTGTATAGCTTATAATTTAGAATACATTCTGCAAACTCTAAACCCTACTGTTACAAGTGGTCTTTTTCTCCTTAATGCCAGGCGAAGCGCTGCAGTGTTACACCTGTGTAGGTTCTAGTGATGAAGACTGTAACAGACAAGGAATTCAGCAATGTCCAGGGCATTCAGATGCATGTGCGGTCATTAGAGGACAAGCAAGTAAGTAGGTTCAGACTCATTACATATTTCATAGTAGAAATAAGCAATCAGTGTTGGAAAGGGAAGAGTTTACAGTAATCTAAGGAGAAAAACAGAGAGAAATGTTTCTCTTAACTAAACAGCCTGCTCTAGTGGAAGGTGTCCCTGCCCGTGGCAGGGAATTGGAACTGAATGACCTTTAAGGTTCCTTCCAACTCAAACCATTCTAGGAATCTATGAAACCCTATTAATAAATCTCAATCCATAATTTTATTGGTTTAGCAGAAATCATATAAAACCACTGAGTATGATGTGCCATGATGAGCTGTAACCACGCTATGTGAAAGCTGTAAAAAAGCAGTTTAAGTATTACTCACTTCTCACTTAAGTCTGTTGTTTATAAGGACTTTATAAGTTAAAGGACTTGCCTGGAAATCAGGAAGGAAAAGAAACTAATGAGGCACTGCACTTGAGCACGTTCAAGTATATGTAAGCTGCAGTATTTGCATCTAAGATAAATTAGTTATTTAACTTAAGTGAGAGCTGGTTAGTGTGCTGTAAACTGATGCAACTGTATTAATTTACTTCTAAGGAATGGCCAAACCTAATATTGTTGCTCGGTGTTGGATGATCAGGTTCCTGCTGAGGGGATGCAGAGAGAGGGTGACCATGACCATGAAGGTCCTTTTGGTTCACTGTGTCTCTGTTTTAGGTGGCATTATGAAGTCCTGTTCGTTCAGGTCCTTCTGCGAACGGGCAAAGAGGGATGGATCCAAAGCGCCTGGAGTGAGCGTTCAGTGCTGCTACTCGAACAACTGCAATGCAAGGAGCCTGGCTTCAAGGGTCACCACCTCCATGAGCTACTTCTCTCTCCTCATCTTCACATTGCTGTGGCACCCATTGTTGAAGCTGACATGAGGTGGGGGGAAAGAGTATCCTGAAGCAACAAGTCTGCCTTCTTAGAAAGGAATGATTATATTTCCTAATCACTTACTCTGTGTACTCCATGTTACTCCATGTCCATTTCTCAGTAGGCAAAAAGCAGTAGGCAGACCTGACAGATGTCCAGATAGAAGTTGCTCCATCTGCTAAATTGTCTTCTATATGTAAGAAACACTGCCCTCTTCTTGTTTAAAGTAAGGGGTCGATTCTATGAAAATCTCACGTTTTCCTACTCTTTAGGGAAGGAGAAATCTTAGCTGCAAGTACCCTTGTAGTAGGGCAAAGGACCAATCTTCCAAATGCTGCTTACTGTTGGCAGACATTCAAAACAAGCTAAAATCTTCCAGCACAAAGTGCATCACTAGCTAGTAGGCAGGTGGTCCTCTGAGGTAGTTATGTTGAAAAGGCAAAACTGGAAGTGACATGCCACACAATGTGATAGCACTTAGCAGGGGTTTGCCTCTGTGATGCTGGAGAGCAGGGTGGTACCTCCTTTCATTCAAAACTCAGGGAGACAGGCAAGCAGATGAATGAAATTTGTAGATTTTAATGTCAAAAAGTAATGATCTGGTCTTACCTCTGACACCAAACATGCATAGAACGGGCTAAAGTCCAGCCGGTGTAATTGAAGTAGAGGTAGTCTTTCGAGTTCTAGTTTTAAGTGTCCATTTGGGGAAATATTTGGTTGTCAAGTTTAAGGAACTCACAAAATCTGTGGCAAAGTAGGGTTTTTCTCCTAGATTTTGTGTTGTGACTTTTTTGGGGGTACGATTCTTTGAAAATTCAGTGTGTCATAGAATCCTGCACGTTCACAGAGATGTCACGAAGGCTGCAAACTCTAGAGAGCTTCTTCAAGTGAAATCAGTGAAACCTCCACGTAGAGCATAACTCCAGCCTGCCTTAGCTGTTGCCTGTCACATGGACCAAACTGTCCTTGCTTCACTGTACCTGTTCCTCTCCAGGGATCCTTCCATCATCCCACATAGATCATGGCTTCAGACTGGGACTGTTACTCTGGGGTTTTGTTCAATGGGCTCTCAGACGAGGCACTTCTGGTCTCTCTGTAGTACTTAGGCACAAGTCTGATAAATCTGTTGAATACAGAAATTGCAGTAATGCAGCAGATCTTGGCTCAGAATGTTAATTTAGACTAAGTATCTGTGTAAAACCCACTTAAGTTGATTTGAGTGTTTTTCATTTCATTTCATCTCAGCTTGAACCAGTTCCTTCAATCTGTTCTGCTGCAGGATTATGTCCTTATATTCTGACTGCTCTGTAATGATAAACCCATATTGAATGTCATCCCTGTATATGCTCAGCGCACTTCCTTAAGGAGAAAATAAAATACATGCAACAGCTGACAATGTCTCTTGATAGACAAAACTGCATCTTCTATTTGGGCTTTCCCACTGCATCCCATTTTCCAGCAGGAATTCCAGCTTCTTTTTCTGTGAGATGTATTTCTTAAATCTGTTTGACAAAATAGTGACTGTTGATGGTTTTCTTACTGTGATATTTCCTGATGAACCACGAAGGTGAGGCTCTATCCTCTTGACAAACACCATCTGTCGCTCCTGACTGCAGCCAGGACTTGGATCTTCAGCCTCCCACTGCCTTGGGTTGATTCTGCCACCCAGCATAATGTAATGTTTGCCTTTACAGGCTGACATTCTTCCTGCCTAATGATGGACTTGAAGTGTGCATGTATAGACCTAGAAATAATAAACCGTATTTATGGATGGATGATATCAGAGGGCTTCCACAATGGTTCTTGGCATAAACCCTATCAGGAAGACAAGCTCAGAAGAAAATGGGACAAAAAAGAAGGAATATGTTTTAAATTCTACTAAAAATATGAAGTTTCCATTGCCATGGCTGGGCAGAGCGACTCCCAGTCATATGTGAGTAGAAAGTGATTGCATTTAGTTTGATTGTTCTGAAATATAATTATTCCTGCAACAGTGGTGTAATCTGCCTTCCTTAATGCTGACAGACAGTTGGGACAAAAGGAGCAGAAACCAATAATGAAATGCCTTCTGCTGCAACAGAAAATGACAGGACTTCTTTATCTTGAGTCAAATCACTGTAGTGCATCAGTTGGGTTTGAGTTTAATGTTACTCTCTCACCTTCAGGAAAGGATCTGAAAGCAACAGGTTTGTAATTTCTGATTTATAAGCAAGAAAATCATAGAATCATCATAGAATCCCAGACTGGTTTGGGTTGGAAAGGACCTTAAAGCTCATCCAGTTCCAACCCCCTGCCACAGGCAGGGACCCCTTCCACTGGAGCAGCTTGCTCCAAGCCCCTGTGTCCAACCTGGCCTTGAACACTGCCAGGGATGGGGCAGCCACAGCTCCTCTGGGCACCCTGTGCCAGCGCCTCAGCACCTTCACAGGGAAGAGCTTCTGCCTAAGAGCTCATCTCAGTCTCCCCTCTCAGTTTAAAGCTGTTCCCCCTTGTCTCTGTTATAACTTGGGCCCACA